CCCTCTCCAACCTGGCCTTGGGGATTTCCAGGGATGGGGCAGCCACGGCTCCTCTGGGCACCCTGTGCAAGAGCCTCCCCACCCTCACAGAGAAGAATTTCTTCCCAATATCTAACCTAAATTTCCTTTCTTCCAGTCTGAACCCATTCCTCCTTGTCCTATCACTACAGTGCCTGACGAAGGGTCCTTCTCTGGCTTCTCTGTAGCTCCTTCAGATACTGGTAGGTGCTGTGTGGTCTCCACACAACCTTCTCTTCTCTGGGCTGAACTGACCCAAATTTCCCAGCCTGTCTCAATAGGGGACATGCTCCAGTATTTTTGTCAACTTCGTGGCCCCCCTCTTTTGGGAGGGTGGGGAAGGGAAATGACGAGTGGCCAGGGCATTAACGCAAATAGCCAGGGGTTAAGTCAGTGCTACAGTCAGACAGGGTGAGTGGCTTCAGGTTATGGGCTTCACCTTGTCACCAGGTCATGATTTATGGCATTTTCAATGATTGTCATTATTGGATTGGAAAAGTAAACCACCACAGATTTAGCATCACCAAGCTAAGGCATGGATAACTGAGACGTGCAGCTTTGCTGTTGACACCTGTGATCCCTTCTAAGGCCACCCTGTTCATTTGTCACTGTTTGACAGCAGTTCACACTATAGCAGAGCTCAATCTCATTCTCAACCTGCCACCTACAGGGTTTGGGTTTTTTTTTCTCCAAGATTAAACTCATTTGGAGAAGAAAAAATTAATTGGCAGTGGCTCTTAGCTCCTAACCTAGAGAAGAGTCAAGGAAATATTCAACCTGGGTCCTGCCCTTTGGCAGATGCCACTCTATAAAGCATTCATGGTTCCATAATCTCCTTAGGAAGCAACCAATGCTTTTATTATGTTCACCCTCAGAAAGAAAACTAATTATTAACTTATTATCACTTTATTTTGAGATAGTACTGCAAGAGTGCACATCACCTTACAAACACAGAGAAGATGACACAGGCCTGCCCCGAGGAGTTCACAATTCCGCTTCAGCAAATACAAAAAAATTCAGTGGACAGGAAAAGGTGGAAGAGGTAATGCTGGCAGGTTAAAGAGTGGGTTTTCTGAAAGAGGGGACTGTCTCCAGAATAAAAAGCAGGTGACAGAGGGTCAGGCACAAGGAAGTAACAATCAGCAGTAGGAGGACAACGTGGAGCACAGGACACCTGGTAAAAACAGATTGCACAGAGACAGGCTGGCAGCACATGGAGGAAAACAAGGACTGTGGGCTTTATAATTAACGTGTAAGATTGCAGCTACATAACACATCATTGTTTCAGCTATTCCAGAGAAGATAACATTGTGAATCAGAAGTGGCTCTTTTTTTTTTTAATAAAAAACCCCAAACCAGTCCATTCCCAACAGGAATCTGTTGTACTATAATACTATTTTCCATTATGAGCACTTTGCACTTTTAAACTGGGGTGTAGAGAATATCAAAAAGCTCTGCAGGTGCAGAAAAAAAATCAAAGGGGAAAAAAAAAGAGTAACAAAAATGTGTAGTTTAGAGATTTCATTCCTTTTACCCTACAGTATCTGCTTTGAATTTTGTAGCATATTTTCCAAATTCATCAGCCTGTCAAGAGGGAAATCTCCTGCTTGAAAACATTTTAGTGATTTACGGACTTAGTTAAAATCTCATTATCCTGCCATTTTCCTTTGCAGACAGAGCATGAAGAGGCCAGGCTTTGCTGTGGGAGTTGAACATTTCAGTTGCTGTAGCAGCATTGCACTTAAATTGGTGTCTCAGCAAGATTTGCCCCCTTTTTTTTCCCAGACATCTGTGTCCAGTTTCATCTCAAGGATCCAGATATAGCTTTTCTCAGTGACTGTCATAGTGTAAGTGTCCTATTAAGCAGAACAGCACAGATTTTCTCTGCTACTTCTGACATTGTGTCATTGCATTAGTGCTATAAAGGCTGTGTCAACAGGGCTTAGGTTCTGACAGATTAGTGAAAGCAAAAAGCTGTCACCCTCCCTTCCCCACTCTGTGAATTCAATTTTACTTTAATACAAATGCAGATTAAGTGCATGCGAGAGGCTGTAGAGCCTGGGAGCAGTGTCTCCAGCAGGTGCAATCGCTTTACACAGCAACACCTTTGACTCTGAGGTACTCACAGATCAGGTTTCTGCTTCCTTACATTCAGCTGGGGTTGCTTCCATGGAGCCCTTTCCCATGGCCACCCTCCTTGCACTTCCCACATGGATCAGGGTAAGGAGCTGCAAAGGACACAAAAACCCCCCAAGTCCTACAAATTCATCATTTAGGAATTGAGAGCAGTACAACACATTGACCTATATTTGAGTTCCACAGATAAATGTATTATTGATGCCAACTGCTGGGACTCTCTACTCTTTGGTAGCACATTTATTTTCCCCACAAGGTGGCTCATGCACCAGGCACTGTCTGGTCCTGAAACACTCAGCTAGGAAGCAGCAATGCTGTTTTCCACTCCAAATGTATATAATGTTATTATATATATACATATATATATATATATATACAAATATATATATATATATACAACTCTATTTCCCTAAGCATCAAAGGATGAGGCAAACTGCCCCTGATCAACCACCCCAGCTGTGTTTCTGCTGTGCAAGACAATGTTTAGAACAATCTGAAGGCAGAATATTGCCCTCCTGCAATACTGACCCCACTGCTGCAGGAGGTGCAGCTCTGAAGCAGTTATGCCACAATCAGAAGAGTGTTTGCACATCTTGCATGCAGGTGCAGGTTTTTGATAGATAAATATGAGACTGAAGTTAGTTTGGTTCACAACTGTCAAAATAAATTTCACCCCATTCAATCAGAGCAGTGTTTCACTTTAGCCCAGCGTGTTTTCTCCAGCTTTGGCCAATTCTTACAGGACAGAACATGCAGACAAGTATCTTTCCTTGGCATAACTTTCTTATTTACAGCAACTTAAAATCTCCCTGAGTTAGTGGATGCATCAGACCATTGTTTAACCAGCCTCTTCTTTAAAAAAAAAATGTTACTTCTGTTCTCCACTACATTCTGCAGCAAAGAATTCCAGTTTGACTTTGCGTGATCCAGAACATGATTCCATTTGTCTGTTCAACCCTGAACAGCTAAAAGCCTCTCTCTGTACCCACCAGGACATGAGCTCTCCTCACAGCTGACCAGCAGCTTCTGACATTAAGCACACACATTCACCAGTTCATCCGATGAAACTGGATTTGAAGATATCCCTAATAAAGGGCGGGATCTGGGAATTGCAGTAGGGAGGTAGATGGCAGAAATAAAATTGTGTTCCTTGAAGAATGTGCAGCTAAATTAAAAGGCAGCAGCATCTCCACTAAGACTTCATTAAAATATGCCACTCTCTATTCCACTATTTTGCTGAGACATTTGTAACAGGCATTTAAGTGACATAAGAGTGGAAGAAATCACATTCAGTTCTGAAACTGAGGTGGAAGTAATGCTGGCTAGCACACAAAACATCAACTCTGCTTTAGGACACTGAGACTATGGATGGAGGCTCACACACCTGATACTTAATCTGTCATTGTCACGTCACGAGTATCTCTGAGCAGGAACAGGACTCTTCTCAAAATATTTAGAAGTATTGTAATATAAAATGCAGAAATCTGCAGAAAGCCCTCTGGCTGTACCACTGCTGGTGTATCTCTGAACATGTACTTGAGACAAGACAGGTGACCAGCAAAATTAATCAAAACTCTGCCTTCTTAATTATTGCTCAAAAAAAGATGGAAAGCTCACTAAATCATCAATCACCAAAACACAAAAAGTTCCAGAAGAACACAGTGCTGACAGCAGGCAGTAAATCTGCCTTGAAACAAACACATTTAATAAAGGCAACACATTATTAAAAAAAAATCACAGATGTGTAAAGTCCTCAAGTGGTGAATCCTGAAAGGAGCGAGTGAAGACTACCAGGTACCAGGGAGTGCGGAGCAGCAGCGACTGGAGATGGCGCTGCCGGCCCACGGAGCGCCGGCCCCGCCACCGCCAGGGAGGGACCCGCGGGGCTGCAGCAAAGCTCAAACCCTGCCCGGCCTGAGCTTCTGCCTCCTTCGGGGGCTGCAGCAAAGCTCGAACCCTGCCCGGCCTGAGCTTCTGCCTCCTTCAGGAGCTGCAGCAAAGCTCAAACCCTGCCCGGCCCGGGGTTCTGCCTCCTTCAGGGGCTGCAGCAAAGCTGAAACCCTGCCCGGCCTGAGCTTCTGCCTCCTCCAAACCCCAGCGAAGGAGCTCACACCCAGCTCAGCTTCCAGGTAATCTGTCACAGGAAGGTCGCAGCACGGTGTTGTTTCTTGGACATTTCCAACCAGGCATAGTTGAATGTCTGAGCCCCTGCCAGGCTTTGCAGTAAAACACCACCACTATTTCTCCAGAATTGTTTTATTTCTGCCCCAACCTTCCCGCAGCCACCAGCTCAGCCCGGTGCAGTCGGTGCTCCTCCTCACCCCTGCACAGTCCTGCTCCCACTCAGTGCAGTGCTTAACACAGGGCTCCAGAGCCTGAGCTACTGACCTCAACAAGAAGGTTAAGGGCAGAAAAGTCTGCTTTAGACAAGGAAAACCTCTATAAAAATAAGCAGGTTAAAAATTCCCTTTGTATTCCCTCCCTGGTGTGAACAGGCCTGGGGCACCTTTACCCACATGTATTGCTCTGGCAGCTGCTTCACCTTACAATCAATCACCAGCTGCTCTGTCCAGACAGAGCATCAACATTGCAGAAGGCTCCTAGAACAGCCCAAGTGGCAGCATTTTGGTCAGTCACAGTAACCTGGTGTTCAGCAGCTTGGTGACCATTATCACAGCAAGGTAAATCAGCTATGGCTAAAGGAAAAATGACATCACCACATCACCCTGCCATATGTCCACAGGATCCAGTCACCAGACACAAAGGAGTGTTCTGCACTCCTGGTTCTTTTCACCAGCAGGTCAGCTCACGTGAACACCAAGGCATCTGAAGCCCCAGAACTCAGCTTCAAGAAGCTTCTCCACTTTTTACTGAACACACATTGCTGCTCCCCTCCCAGGGGCATCTCAGGGGGGAAGGAGAGGCAAAAGGCAACAAAGTCTCAAAGCACTTCATCGGTAAACAAGATCCAATTCTTATCTCAGAGGCTCCAGGACTGCAGACAGTTTAAAACACGTACAGGTGAGTTTGTGAACCGGGAAGAAGAGGAATTCCAGGCCTCCCAAGGCTTGGTCTAGGACCAGCAGTCCACTATAGGCTCTTCATTTCAGTGTGGAAGGCAGATCCATTGCTCACAGTCTGTGTCATTTGCAGTAATAAAAGGTTCGGGAGCTGTCAGTGCTAGCAGCCAACATTTAGCAAAACACTGAAGCTGTGCTCATACACATAGGAATAAAAACCCCTTCCCTGCCTCAGAAACAGGGATATGTCTGGAGAGACAGTAAAACCACTGGTTCCAGCTACACATCAAGCAGAAAGACCATTATGAAGCCTTGGGGAGGGAGGACAGTGCAGCTTGCATCTGAGACTGTGTCAGCCAAGTTTGGGGGAAGAAGGGGAGAAAACAGATTGCAGTGAGTTACATTTGCAAACTCAAATTATGGTCTGTCTTCCCTCTTCCCCCATCCCTCTATTCCTTCTCTCCCCAGTTTCCCATGCAAACTCTCTGCTGCTGGAGAGTGTGATCAGGGGATAATTTAAGACACAATAGCTGTGTGGCCTTTATAAAAAGGAAAAGTGTCCCATGTTTTGGAATAAGGAGTGGGAAGTCTCCTCCTGCCATATATCTGAGGAAATCTCAGTCATGATGTCCAGCCCTCACTCCAGTGATGAGCAAAGACTGGCAGAGCCAGGGGAGAAAAGTCCTGGCTTACACCACAGGTAGAACCCACAGATGTGGTAGGAACTTGTACAGGGGAGGTTGCACATGAAGCACCAGTTTAAACAAAGGCTTCCTCAGTGGGAGTGCCGTTGATTTTGAAGAAAAGTTTGGCATCTTCCATCTTCTGCTTCTTTTCTCTCTCTAGCCTGCGCCTGTAGCAGACCAGGTAGATTGGGAGGCAGAATCCCAGGAGGCTCAGGCCCAGCAAGCCAACATTCACCTGCAGGAGGAAAGCAAACCAAAATTAGGCTGGTTAGGAGAAGACAACAAGCCAGTCATGCGTGCAGCAGTGTCAGAGCCCAGCCCACATCACCAGCTGTGGGCAAAGAGGAGACGCCCTGCTCCCTGTGCTGGCAACATCCTCCACTGTTTTCATCCTTAGGGAACCTTGTGTGTGCAAGCTAAATGCTGCAAGAGTTTGTCACTCTGGATTATGGCTGTGGGAGTCTTATTCCACAGAACAGGCAAGGGCTGGTGGAGCTGCAGGCGCTTCACACCGAGTTTGCTGATTGAAGAGGAACAGGCATGGGCACATGTAGCCTAGAGACCAGAATTCTCCCCAGCATCACCCATGTCACGATTTTATTGAGCTGCCCAGACTCTCAGCAAGACACCACATCAGCCCTGCCCTCAACAGCCATTTGGCTTTTCAGTCATTAGCATCAGCAATCCAAAATTTACTGGTAATTGGAGCTTGTAGCTCTCAAGCATCACAGTGTTCTTTCTCAATTTTGAGGTCTGCTCACACTCACCCATTTTAACCTGACAGATTCTGACTCACCACATAAAGTGTTAGTGGAAAGCACTCCCTTCCTCCCTTTCCATTCACCATAAGGGTTACTGGCTTCCCTGCCCAGGGACTCATTACTCACATAGGGACAGGGAAAGGTCTCCTGGACAGCACCAAGGCAACAGCAGACTGAGGGACATGTAAAATTACAGCTGTTTTTAACCTTGGTCCATGCACAGGAGTCCTTAAATGAGCCAAAAATCATCTTAACCCCCAAGCTTTCATATCAAAACTGCGAAGAACTTGCCCAGAGGGGGTCTCCTTTCAAAGGTCCTGTCAGTGCCATGAAGAGAGGCTGCTGCAGGAGGGCAAACAGGGCACTGATCAATGACTGCAGCCCTGTCAAGCTGCCAAACTGAGTCGAGGGGTATCTGTCAACAAAGAAAGCAACAGCATTATTATGTGTCACCTTGACTTCATATCACCCAGGTCAGATTACATTCCCAGCCCAGTAACAGAGACCAACATGAGAGCACAGTGCCAAGACAGGCATAATGTGCAGAATTCCCTCCTGCACTGGGTAACTGCCCCTTTTTACAGGGTATTTACACAGACCCTGTGGTGTCACACTGCTCCTGAGAGCAGAATGGAACTGTGCCAAGGCTGGAGCCTCCTTCTTCAGATCATTCTCATCCTGAGTCTCAGATTTTAGCAATATCAGATCCAGCACTTGTTTTGTTTTGCAGCTGTACTGTGGGCAAGTGGAAGTGCTTATACAGCTCCTGTTTCTATTGCACAGGGAGCAGAGTGGGGATATTTACAAGTTAAAAGCAGGGCTGCTTTATCCAGATGGCAACACCAGTGCCTGAGCAATCATTTTCATCTGGTCATAACAATTTGCTCCCTTTGGAGGTGAGTGAAACCTGCACAACAGGTTAGTGTTTTCCTTTTTAGAGGACAAGTCTGATCCTATGTCAAACTAAACAACACTGTTGACTGGCAAGTGCTGGTATCAGATAATATTAATGGAAAAATAAATTTCAGGAATCTTCTAACATCTTTCTCTTTCCATGACTGAGCAGTAATTAAAAACAGTCAGGTTAAACTAAACTTGGGAAGAAAGAAGCAAATCAAAACCTTTAAATATTCAAAGAAGTCATATTCAAAGCAAAAATACCTCAACTCCAGGAACTTCCAGAATTGCAGTGGTCAAATAGGATTAGTTTACCAGTAAGGTGATACTTACTGCAACATACATTTATTTACCTTGCCCAGACAAAAATATTTTGCTTCTGGCTGCCAGGGAACCAAAAGTTTATACATTTCTGAAGCAGAAATGTGTTCTCTAGTCTGGATTCTCCCAGATGCGGGGCTTAGATTTTGACAGAAAGAGTCTGTGGAGCTGTGGAGTCTCCATCCATGGAGATATCCAAACAAAATCAGTTGCACTCCTTGGTCTGGAGAGGTCCCTTCCCACCCCAACAAATCTCTGATTCCCTGAAACAAAACAGCTCCTCTTTGTTCCTCTGTCCTACCTCAGCACTGAGGGACAGATCTGTTTTCAAGGCCAAAAACATTGCTTAATGAGGAAGAGAGCATTTAGATTCAGCTATTGATAACTTGCAAAGTTGGAAACAGGATGGGTGATCTGTCCTGGGAAAGGGAGGAGGCATCACTAATGGTATCTTGAGCAATGTTTTATCAATGTCAGCTTCAGAGGAGAGCAGCAGCGATGTTTTCAGTCCTGTTAATGTTTTACCTGGGCACATGCACACATCTGCTCATTGCAAGACAAAAAAAGCCTTGAGTTTTTACTATATAACCTGTGTGTCAATAGTTTAGTCTCACACATAACTGTTCCTGGCTCTGTTGCTAAACAAGGAAAGCCCTGGGATTTCAGCCCAGCTATTGTCATGTCTAGAGATGACTGAGGAAACAAGTTGCAACATTTTTCCCCTCTGACCATGAAGACCTCATTCCTGATCTCCCTCTCCCCTGGACAGCCCACCATCCCAAACCAGTTTATCTGGCCAGCCACATCTTATGGGGAACCAGAGACTTACACAGCTGCATAGAGGCCTCCCACAGCTGAGTGGATGAATCCTCTCACAATTGTGTGCAAAATGAAGGACAGAATCTGAAGAAAGAAGCAGAAAAATGTCACATCCTAGACACCCACTCAGGTGTGCCAGAACCCAACACCATTCCTCAAAGCTGCTCTTTTCAGGTAGGATTGGGAAACCCAGACCCAAAACCTGAAATATCAGCACGAGGGAACAAATTCGTACTTGTCTCCAGGCACTGCTTTTCCTTATTCTGCACACACACAAGACCTCTCTCATTTGTAGGTGGCATTGCTGCAAGGACGTGTCCCCAGCAACCCCTGGCCAGGATCACAAAGCTTTTCCATGGCCACCAATTTAGTTAATTTTCCACAAGTTATTGCAGACAACACGTAAGAATGAGCAAACTGCTCTTACTTGCTCATAGGCAAACTGATGTTTGCCTACATCATCAAGGTGTGTTTAAGTGTAGCATAAAATCACTAAACTCCTCTGCCAAAAATAGGTGGTGCCACAGAATAAATATTTTAAGAGGTTTATAATCCCACAGGTGCCATTGGGCATAGCATTTGACGCAGGAATAAGCTGCTGTACACATCACCATGTTATGCTTCTTGCTGCAAGTTTTTCCAACCTTCAGCAGGCTTAAATCAAGCCCAGTTTAAATGTACAGGCACTGCTGAGAGGATCTTGGTGGGCAAGAATTTGTTGCCACACAGGCCAGCTGCAGAAACTTAAAAAAATTAAAAAAAAAAAAAAGTTTAAAGTGCAAATAAATTCTGAATCAAGTGGCATTTTAACAACAGCTGCTTGTTCAGGTTTTCCCAAGAGATCTAAAGTGCAGAGTGTTGTTTCTGCTCTACAAGTGGGGCTTGCAAAGCAGGATGGAAGTTTCCCTGCAGTGCCAATCCCAGCCCTTCTGCCACCACCAGCAGGTTCTCCTGGCACTGTGCTGTCATTCTGGCAGCACCCCACCCATTTCACCCACTGACCTGCAAGGGTAGATTAGGAATAAGACAGGTGATTCCAAATCCAACCAGCAGGAAGTTGGTGAACACAAAGGCATTGGTGGCGTTGGTGATTTTCTGGATCTGACGGTCACGCTTTTTCTTCTTCTTGTCACCTCTGGAAGGACAGCAAAACCTGGGTTACAAACACCCCCAGCAGCTGCTGGGACTCACAGCGAGATTCTCTACACATCACATCAACTATCTACACCAGTTTGGTCACAGATCTGCCTATGGAGGTGCTGGGATCTCCACCAGTGGAAGCTGAGGAACATCTGGGTAATTATTTCAGTGCTGTTACTCTTACTCTTAGGCTAGGAGGGAAGTCTGAGCCTCTCCTGCTACAACTTAAATTTGCTCTTCTCGACTGATCTGAGTGGACATGGAAGATAGTCTGCTCCTTTCCTCTGCAATTATCAAGTCTTCCTTCAGGCTTTCTTTTCTATACTGAAGAGCCAATATTCTTTTCAGTCTTTGATCCCACAGCACACAAGGCAGGGCAGAGGGGGCCTGCCAGGTGCCTGCATGTCCCGTGTGGGGCACACTACGCACTGCTCAGCGTTGCTCTCCTCATTCTCTTCTGAGCCATCATCACACTCTTTCATTCTCCAGTCCATGATGTATCCGATCACAGGCGCTGTCAGCAGGCACAGCAGCTGCAGGACCCCAAAAATGGAAGTGTAGAAAGCCACTGCAGGGAAAAAAAATAATTATTAAAAATAGTTTTCAGTCCAAGCGATAGGAAAAACTATGAAAAAAGCCTTCCCATTATCACTTCTCTTATCAGTCATTCATCAGCCTTCCAGACATCAGAATAGACATGCTGGGCACATTTCCTTCAGCCATTCTGATCCTGCACTGGAATTCTCTGGGCAGCAGCAGGCAGGGCTCCAAAAATGGGGACACAGCACCCACTGAGTGTCAGTGAGGTTTATTCTGGGCAGGACCAGCAGGAAGAGTTTTTATAAGCTTTGTGTGCTGCACAGCCAGGCCTGCTTTAGTCATCCCCTCTCCTGCCTTGCTGGGAGCTGCAGCTTCTCCAGCTGGGATGCTCCAGTGAGGACAATCAGGGAAGGTGAGGACTAACCCAGTTTGTGCTGAATGGACAAGTTTGGAAGAAAGGGGACAGGAGATTAACATCTAAAAATAACATCATTTGTGAGCAATTGTTACAAAGCTCAAAGTGATGAAAATTCCGTGCTAACGATGAGAGAAGTGTCCCCGTGGCTTGCTGAGGGAAAGCTGATGCCAGCAGACTCAGAAGAAATTGTCCCCTCCTGTCACTGAGCAGTTCCCCCACCCTGCAAGGCTTTTTTCCACTTCCTCTCGGCAGCCCACGTGGTGACTGAGGCAGCACACAGAAGGGCTGGTGAGTCACGGTGTGCCACAGCTCCAAAATAAGGATGTGGCTCTGAAACTGCCCATCTCAGCACACAGAGCACAAGTTACAGCCCTGCAAGCAAAGCAGCTGAAATTCTCATTTGTCCCTCCCGCTTTTAAGCCTAGCCAAAGCAGCACAGCCAGGATTTCCACCAAAATCCACTTGGTAATGGAGAGAAAGTTTCCAACCAGCCTCTCTCTCCTAAACAGTTGCAGCAAACCCCAGCAGGGCTGCTCTGCTGTGCCCAAGGATGGCACCTGGTGATCTTTTCCTGGCTCCAGCTGCTGGCAAAGGAGCTGAGAGGAACTTCCAACCTCCAAACTCACATTCATGGCCCCGTTCCTCCCACAAAGACAGGCCCTGGAGTGACCCCACATCCCCTCTCATTACAGCAACTGCTGCAGCCAAGAGAAACAGGTGGCATCACTCTCTGAGAGCTCTGCAGGAGCTGATTTACTGCTGGCTGGTTATTTTTTAATAGAGGGTAAGAAGCAAGCCACGCTGTCATGTTTTGCCTCTTTATGCTGCCCTGAACATTTAATCTTAGGCTCTAAACAGCAAGGGCAGAGGGCAGCTTGAATTAAGGAGTGAAATTTATGGGGTCAGCAAGGGAAGGGGAGAAAACACAGTAGCTGCTACAAAACAAGGCTCCTGAGCTTATCTGTCATCTTAAAAAACATTCTTTCCCAAGGAGAAAAAGCAAGAATACCTAGCAAAGGAAGCACACACATGATCACAAGCCTTTACATTCCCTGTTTTAGATGCTTTTCCCTCAAAACTACCCTGAGCAAGCACCTCACACTGTTGAGCTTTCCAGCCCAAGGTCTCTCAGTATCACCACGTTTGAGAGCAAGGTGACAATTTATGGAAGATGCAGACAAATTTCAGGTTCTAGGTATAGCAAGTCTCTCCTGTCCCCTGCTTTCCTACAACACAATTACACAGACATTTACAGAATGAACCCTTAAAGCTTCTTCCTCATCTTTTGGGGGGTTTCAGCAGATAAGCAGCCACAGGCTGACTGCTCTCTCCACTTTTTGGTTTCCTGACAGGTCCAACTCACCACAACCTGCACAGAAAGAACTTTCAAGGACACTGTGCCTCACTGCAATTAAGGATTTCACTACTGATCTGCATGATTCTCCCCACATCCTTCTCTCCTGCTGTAATCCCAGGAATATTTAACTTTTGACCACAACCCTTGCAGGGTTTGGCTCAGCTCTCCTCTCCCCTCCCTCAGTGCTCCCAAGGGCAGCTGCAGGTGGAGGGAGCTCTCTGAGCAAACCCCACCCAGGAGAATAAAGGCAGGAATCAGGAGGAATGTGAGGGAGCAGCATCCCATCCCCTCCTGGTGCACACACAGATTGCATTTCTGGAGAGCTGCACGTGCCTTGGAGCTGCTCTTGCAGCAGAGCCTGACACTGCTGAGACCAGACAATGCCACTGCTTTGCTGATGCCATGGAAACACCAAGACAGAGACTGCACTGCAATGAGCCCAGGCTACAATCAGGGGGAGGAAGGGGAAAAAATAAGGAAGAAATCTTAAAGGTGGCACAGAAAAATTGCAGCATACTCAAGGGGCACAATCCCTGTTTTAGCAGGGAGTTTGATCAAAGCAGAATTGGCAGCTTGTATAGTTAATGTTAATTCTGAAATTCCATGGAGGGGAGGAGAAGGAAAGAAATTAAAATTAAATTAGTACAGCAAACCAGGGTAAAAAGAAATAATATTTTTTTAAAAGCAGTGTCAGAGTTACAAGGTAAGCAGAAAAGGAAGCAGTGTTGGGAAAGGCAGGCAGTGTGAAGTTTGTCCTGTTCTGCTGTTTAATGTCTAAGCTGGCTCCTGAGGCAGGAGATAAAGAGCTGAATGCTGCAGGTTGTCAGAGGCTCAAGAAACAAAGCAGTTCAGGCAATGCCAGGGCACTTGGAGTTTCCTGAGTTTCCTTCCCTCCCCCAGAGCTCACTCCTGTTTTCAGAGGAGTGCCTCTTGATTTATCAGCTTCATGCAATCCAGATTTAACAAGTTCAAACTGGATCTTACTACAAAGGACAAAAACAAAATTAAAAAAAAAGGCTAAGTCCTGTTTTGCAATCCTGGGTATTTTTGACAGTAAACTAATGTACTCTTTCCTGCTTGCTCCATGAACTTCATCAGAACTATAAATGCAGGGAGTCCAGCCCTGAGCCTCCCCAGCACCCAGCAAGCTGCACAAAAAACCAGCTCTGACTTCACTTCTCCCCCTGGGTGCTGGGCTGAGGCACTGAGTCCAAGCATTACTCATGAGAGTCAGCTGCTCTGCATTCTCTGCTTGCTTGGGATAACTTAAGCAAATACCTGCTGAAATAGGATTTCTAGTTAAAATAAAAATTAGCAGTCCACCCCTAAGGGTTACTTGCAAGAGCCTATGTGGGGAAATAACATGGGGCAGTATCTGACAGACACAGGGTTAAAATTAGCCTGACATTCAAGCACCCACCTCACTGCCCCTCTGTGCTGGGCTGCTTCCAGCCCTTCCCTGGGCCCTCCCAGCAGCTGTCAGTGCACTTGGACACCATGGATTGCCCTGCATGGAGCATCTGCTGAGTAATCAGCTGCTCTGCCTTCCCTCACCAAGGCTGGGTCACTCCCAGCCCCAAGGATGCAGTGAAAGTCTTCAGAGGTTCCCCTACCTTGACTTTCATCTCCAGACAGAAACTCCAGGATGGTGTTCATGGCTCCCATGTAGAAGATGAGCCTCAGCTGAGTGACACACATGGTGATGAGGCTGAGCAGCAGGATGGGGCTGAAGACACTCTTCATGAAGGAGGGAGTAGCTGCAGAAGGAAGAACAGAGCCTCTGAAGAAGGCAGCACACCCTGGCAAACATTCACAGCAGGGCCTCTCCTGGCCAGGAGTGCCAGTGGCAGCCCCAAGGAGTTCACCTGGTGCCTCACAAACTCCCACCATCAGCAGCTGCAGCTGCTGGAGTTTGGCTACCAAAGTGGGGCAAGGCAGCAGGAAAGGAGGCTGCCCTGATTCTGTGGATTAGGACAAAAAGAAGCCTCAAACCATTTGCTTTCACCATCAAGGCCAGGTTGGATGGGGCTTTGAGCAATGTGTTCTGGTGGAAGTGGTGGAATTAAATGATCTTTAAGGTCCCTTCCAGGTCAGACCATTCTATGATGCTCCAAAGTAATGAGGGCTTGGTCATGGTGGCAACAATCCACCCAAGAGCCAGCAACGACCACCTGCCCTGTCCCCCTGCAGCTCCCATGTGCTGTCCCCACCACTGGCTGCACCATTTGTGTTCAGGGAAGGACACAGGGACAGGATTCCTTGCATAACTGGTGGCTGGCACGAGGCCCCGGCAACACCTGGCTCACGTTTTGCTCCCTTGCAAACAGGTCTGGAGCAGAGCAGGGAGGCCACCAGGCCTGTGCCAGCACCCTGGGGCACCCAGAACCACACCTGCACTGTCAGGCTGGCACTTCACTTCCAGGTCCACTGTAGACAGACAGAGCTTGTTGTTCTCCTGCAGAGCTGCTGGCTCCTTGGGGCCCTTCATGGAGCTCCCCACGCTGAGACGGCGCCCCACGGTCGTCACTTGCTTGTAGAACTGCTTCCCAGTGATTTTGTGGTCAAAGCCCAGCCAGCTGAACTTTATTTTCACCCTGTTGGGTTGCAAAGAGTGTGAGAGCTGCACCACAGGGTGAGGAGTCAGAGGCAGCAGCGTTGCAGGAGTCAGAAATGCTATTTGTGGATTTAAGGCACTGGTTTCCATTACAGACCCACAAATGGTTTTGATCCAGAGCACACTGAGATACCTTCCCTGGGCCAACTTGGCATAAATCAATACAAAAATACTTATGACCAGGAACAGATCATTCTCCCTTTGTAATTCCCACAGTTTGGAAAGTTGTGCTTTGCACAGGTAATCCATGCTAGTGGCAGGCAGAAACCCTCAGCCTAAGAGGTGGCAGCAACAAACAACATGCAAGGGGTTCCCTGTCTACTCCTCCCCTAAATTCTTTGTGCCAGCTTTTCCTAGAGGATTAGGAATGGGATTAGCCCTGCAGACTCACGTGTAGTCCATGTCTTCTGGCCCTGGGAAAGGCTCCAGGGGCCAGTTGAAGAAGCAGTTGAGGAAAACGAGTCCTGCACAGCTTGCCCAGACAAGCAGGATAAGGATGAAGGAGACCCCAAAGTCATAGATAACCTGGGAATCACAAGGGAATATGGGTTTGGCTACAGGAGCAGAGAGATGCTGCAATATTCTTGGAATGAGGTCTGAGAGAAGCAGGGAAAGAACATCATGATACACTTAAAATGAGTTGAACTCAAGTGGTAACAAAACAATTTTGTGACTTTCTTGGAAAACCAGCAGGAATTTCCCTGCACACCTGAGACTGCGGTGAAACATCCCTGGTTCAGACCCAGGTGATCTATCCAGGCAGCCCAGGTGACCATCTCATGTCCCTTCAGTGCCATCTGCCAGCCATAAATTATCTTCAAAATCAGCCATTGGTGACCAATCACACAGATAAAACACACATTTGTGTATTAAAAATATATATATACACACAACTTAGAGATTAACAAAGCAATCTTTTCTAAAAAAACCTTTAGTTTTTCACTTCTACTTAGCACTTCTCAAGTCTTCTATCTGCTGCATTCTTGAGGCAGTCACTTGGGAAGTCTCTGATACAGACAGGAACTGAATCTTGCAAATGCACATCCCTAAAAAAGACCTTTAGCAAATGGCCTCTCTTCCTTTCCACTTTATTGCTAAACAGGACAAGACACCAGCACAACACCACCAGTCCCAAGCCTTGATCCCACAGCCTCACCTTGATTCCTGGGAAAGTCACAGCAGAGGAAGCATAGGAGCCAATCATCAGAGCAATGAACGTGGAACGAAGGTCCCCAAACATGTTGGGCAGCTGTGGAGAGAGAGGAACATCAGCTGGAGCAGGAATGAGGCTTTCTCATGGAGATATTGGCATTTAGGATTAATTCTCCTGGATACCACAATGTGAAGCAGTCAGTTTTACTCAGGCATGACTTAGCTCTATAAGATATTACTCTGCAGGTTTCACTGGTGTCTCTGGAGACAGGCAATGTCTACAACCCAAGATTTATGTGCTTACTGATGCTGCTTCTTTCCAGACTGACAGCATATTTTGCATCATTCACCTTTAGCACAGGAGCATTTGCTCCAGCTCTTATGCTTTCTCTAAAAGTTCCTTATTCCAAAAACCTTTAGCCACCACTTCTCCTCTCCCACAAACACATGCCCAAATTCTCTGTTTATCACCTTCTTTTTAGCCAAGGGTTGTTAGACACAGGCTGCAGTCTTTAACACACCCTGCAACACCTTGAGCTGCCAGCTTTGTTTATGCACCTTGGGTCAGCACCCAAATCCTTTGCAGCAGACCAGAAAGTTCCTGTTATAACAAGAAGGAACAGAGACAAGCACAAACAGTGCTGCTGTTTGCATTTCCATTTCTAGCCATCTCCAAGGCTCCTTCTGTGGCAGCAGACTCTGTGCTGATCATTTCTGCATCACTGGGATGGCTCAGATGCCTCAGCACAGTGTCCCAGAGCTAGGTGCAGAGAAGGAGTCACAAACACCAGATACCCAAGGATTTATCACTCAGCACAGCTACTGAGCTCTGCAGCAGGCAACACAACATTGCTGCTCCTGCCAGCCACCCCCTTCACTGCCTGGGCTCCCATCAGGTGTGCTGAGAGCAGACCAGGCTGGTTCTGCAAGGAGCTCTCAGCAAGGACAGGCAGCAGCAGCTCACAGCAACCACTTCTGCCACCTGAACAGCAAAATCACTCCCGGGATGGCTCAGCAGCCCCTGCTTCCACTCAGGATCCAAAGGCAGAAACCAAAGGAAGGTCTCTCCAGCAGGAAAGCTTCCTACTCTGCTGGGAAAGGAAGAACCCCCTGTTTTCCTAAACAACCAGAAGTGAACAAGTTCCCATCACTCACTAATGCTCTCCTGGGAACTGGAAATTACAGGGAGAAGCACTGAAGTTGTCAGGCTATGGAGAGCTGGGCTGACACCTCCTGAAGCTGGTCAATAGGCAGAGATTCTGCTGCAGGCTGGCAGGTTTCCTTCCCACCTCCTTTTTTTTGGGTCACTTACTCCCCAAATTCACTTGAGCATCACTACCACGTCAGCCTCAGAGGACCTCAAAGCAGGACACTGCAGATGCCTTCTAGGACTGAAGGCACGAGCAGCCCTTTTTCTGTGCAAAGAGGCTGCTGAGCAAAAAGATTCAGAGAACATCAACCTGAGCAAGCAAGTGCTGCCATCACACCCCCCTTGCAGGGCTGAAAAACAAACCCATCTTTCCCAGGAGCAGCATATAAGGCCAGCAAATCTGGCTCGTGTCACGGCGTGTTTACAAGGCAGAAATATTCCTGAGCAGGAGCACTCCGGGACCCATCTGGCTGTTCATCATCCACTGCAGAGCTTCCTGCAGCCTGCAGGTCCTCACATAACCCCAGGCTGGGCAGCAGCAGTGATGTGCTGAGCCTGGTGCTGCCCGTGAACCCTGGAGGAGGAGGAGGAGGAGGAGGAGGAGGCAGAAGGGCTGTGCTGCTCTGCAGAGCATCCCCACACCCATCACCCCGCATGCGGGAGAGCTGCCAGCAGGCTGCTCCCAGGAGCTGCAGACAGGAAACTGCTCAAGGATCCAAAGGTCTGTTACCAGGCACTGAAAAATCTCCTCTTGGAAGCACTGCCCTCGATTTACACACTCCCAGAAAGCAGCAGCTGCCGAGGGGAATGGCTGAGGGTTGTAAAAAAGGATGGCCGCTGTCACCAGGATGGGCATTTGTTTCATCCCAAACGCCCCAAACTTTAAATAATGTCCAGAAATGACAACAAAACTGCTGCTCCTGCTGGGGAGCTCAGGGCAGGGCAAGAGCTGCACAAACACAGCTGCTTCTTGGCAAGGGCTGGTTTTCCCCAGAGATCCAGAGTCCACAAAAAGCTTTTTTCATGCAGCAGGAAAGGAACTTCCAGGTGGATCCTCCTGCTCTGAGGGCTGCTGGAGACACAGAACAGGAAGCCACAAACAGGAGAACCCAAGGCTGCTTCTGCCTTGATTGGGACAGAAGTCCTAGAAAGGCTAAAGATTTCCTCAAATCCAATTTGGCACCCAGCAAGGAGCTAGATTAAAAAAATTGGACAGAAGAGATTTAATGTCTTATCCAGGCCAATCAAAGCAGAAAGTGCAAGCACTGAGCACTTGGAAGGGACAGAAATGTGGGACTGCCTGGAGGGGCAGAGGGGGAAAAGGGGGAAAAGTCTTGAAGAGTTCAAGACCAAAAAACCTCTCAGACTGAGCCAGCACTGGCAGTGCCTGTGCAGGTCTCATCTAAAGACCAGCCACAAAAACAACATGCAATATTTACCAAGTCATTTTTCACGCTGTCTTTATACTAGCAAGCATTGGAAAAAATGAACCACAGAGAGGAGAGGAAAAAAAAAAAAAAAGGCAATAAAAAACACAAGCCATGGAGCAAGTGAGCTCTGTTTTTCTGCCACCAAAAAGGATCTAATCCTCATTCTGATCTCATCCCCGCAGGGCAGAAGTGACTCCTCCAGCAACTTCTGCCCATTCTGGTATGACAGCTCCAATTCTGCAAGACCTGTGACGACAGAAACTCTTAAGCCTCTTGTTTAAAGGTCACTGACACTCAATGCAATATTAACTTTATGCCCTGTCACAAAACACTCTGTGAATGTTGCCACACGTAACTGTTTTTTACTGGAATCCTTTATTGCAGGTCTGTAATCCTAAACTGATAAATCATTTCCTCTTGCAGATTTTTTTTTCCTCATCTGCCCTACAGTGAGTTTATAATAATTTATATTGTTTTCCAGCTTTTCTCTGGAGACATTCCATATACAGAAAACAGCACAGCATTGCTACCAAAGGCTGTTTCCCTCCTCTTGCAAGGACTGTTTGAAAGAACAGCAAAAAAAAAAAAAATCAAGGCATTGAGAACTAGACTACTGAAAAATGGTATTTTTGTTCAATTAAACTTTGTTTTCCCTACTGGGGGTGTGTTTGGAAGTTACACAGACACTAAGAATATGTTCTGCAGGAAAGCCTCAAACTGCCCCCTTTGCCCAAAGCATATGGAAACTCCTGTTCCCATTCTCCAACAAACAAAAGCTCACAGAGCCCTAAGTTTTCCTAATATTTCCAAGCAAAAAAGATTCCCTACACAGAAATGTCCCCCCCCCTCTGATTAAAGGGGGCTGTTTGCAGCAGAAAATCAGAGCAAAGCAGCTGTAGTTCTTTGAAAGGAAAACAGGACAGAGAACAATCTATAAAAGGCTCTTTGTGGTAATTTATCACACATGTTTATTTCTTTGCATGAAATAGCTTCGGAGCAGAACCAGCGCCAGATTCCTGTGTTGCTGTCAGAGCCACCAGCACAGATCTGTTTCCATTTCCAATCTTCACTTACATTGGCCAAGACCAAGTCACGAGGCAGAAATCTCCCCTCTCTGCATTTTAACAACAGGCACAGGCTGACCTTGTTCCCAGAACTGGGAAGCCTCTGCTGGCTGCCCCCTCCTCCCCAAGCCACAGCCCAGGCACCCAGGAGCAGCAGCTTGTTTTGGCTCCACAGCTTGCCATGTGCTGTCATGATACCCTGGGGACTTGTTGCTGGAAAAGGCTTTAAACTCAAGAGGCAAAAGCTTTGTGGAGCACTGTCCCAGGCTCTAATCCTGTTTATCCCTGTCTGAGGGTCCCTGCCACCAGATCACACCCTGTCCCAGGAGGTGTCAACACCTGACACCCTGCAAGCTGGGCTTCAGGGACACCCTGCCATGCAGCAGCAACCCAAACCTGCCTGGGGTGGCTGGACCATGGCACCAGTGGGTCTGAGCCATTTCCTGGAGCAGCTCAGGTCACCTGCAGCTGGCAGGAGCAGGGAGTCACCTTGCTGTGACCTGTGGCAGCCAGACCGAGCTCCCCTGGCACCGGCAGGAGCAGGGCTCATCATCTCCTGGGTAATGAACCTCCTTACAAAGGTCTTTTGGGTGTCCCCTTTCAGTTCAGCCCATCCAGCATGTTCACAAGCCCATGAGCTTGTCCCTGTGTCCCTCCCTGCCTGTCCCCAGGGGCCACAGCTGGAAGGAATCCACAGGGCATCACCCTGTGACAGCACAAGATGGTTCTTGACACAGCAAGTGCAGCTTGCAGGCACAATGGTAAAGCTGTGAGCTGCCAACAAGCAACATACAGCTGGCTCTAACAGGCAGCAGCACAGCTCTGCTGTGGTGCAGGTAAAGGAGTGTTTCCCTCCCACTTGAGGCTATTTTTAATGACATTCACACACCTCAGGTACCAAAATGCCTCTGAGCAGCTGCACGAGCAGCTACACCTGCCTGTGGGTTGGAGAAGCCGGGCCTGAAGCCACCCCAGCTCTTTGCAGAACACACTGAGGGATGGGCTGCACCTGAGGCATCTGAGTGGCCTCACAACATCCCTGCCTCCCTCAGAGCTCCCCAAGGCTTGGATCTCCTCCTGGAAGAGCTGACCTTTTTCCTGCTGCTGCTCTTCCTTGGCACTGCAGAACTGGCTCACTAATGAGGGCACTAATAAGTGGCTTTGCTTACTTCTGCTGCTAAAAGCCACAGCACACCCAATCTATTCCTGCCCTATCCTGCCCTCGCTCCTCTCATCACCAGTGGGTCTAAAATAATCCGTGACCCCTTAATAATCACCCAGGGAGACAATAATCAATGCTCTCCCACAGCACTACTGAGGTGCTCCTCTATTCCTTGCTTTTATTTGAAGCAGGATGACATTTGCCCCACAGTTCCTTGGGGTCACAGCCAAGGCTTACAGTGAAGAACACCACATATGAAGGAGAGAGCAACATCTGCACAGAGGTCTGAAAGCTTTGGATATATGAAAGCAACAGCAGCAGCAAAACCATGGTACACAGAGTGCTCTCTAAAGCCAGCCTCTGCCAAATTTATGTCTCAGGACCTCAGCCAGTGTCTAAGCCCTGTTAAATTAGAGGCAACTTTAACAGGAAGCTTTACTTTAACAGCAAGTTCAAGGTAGTGCAGTCCAAATCTGAAAGTTTTTAACTACAGCTCAGGGGAGAAAAAAAAAATTAAAAAAAAGCAGTGCTTCCCAGGCTTGTTTTCTGGGCGACTTTCCACCCAGCCCTGCTTGAGCCACACTAACAACAATCAGGGTAATGAGGCAGAAAATAAAGCAGTTATTTGGAGAATGATACTGCTTCTGCCTCCAGGCAGAAAGAACCCCAAAACACAGAGATCCAGCTGACAGTTGTTGACCAAAGCTTTCCATACAATCCTGAACATATCCAAGTGGGCTGTGCACACCCAACAGCACAGCACTTCTAAGGAAGCCTTGAGGGACTCTCACCCTTCTGAAAAGCAAAACTTTTTGTGATCAAGAAGAGCCATGGGGGCGAGATGCACACTGTGCTTGCAGAAAGCTGGCCATACCCAGCTGCAAGGGTTTGTGCCCTGCTGATTCTTCCTGCACTATGTCAGTGCTAAATCCAGTGCAAACACACCTCCAGCCTGTGCCAAGCAGCTGAGCACTGCATGTACAGGCACATTATGAGCCCTAGACAAAAACACTTCCTTTTTTTCTCCCCACCTTCACCTGAGATACAAAGGGCAGGTGAAAAAAAAAAAAAAAAAAAGAACGGGGAAAACAAGAAACAAGCTTTAGAATAACAACCAAGGACTCACTCCCAAGGGTGAGTGACCCTTTGTACCAAACACAAACACGTGCTATTCAAGCCACAGGCAGAAGATCCACTCTGCTGCTGCCTGCCAGCCCAGCTCACAGGCACAGTGAGGGACAGAGCAGTCAGGTAGTAACTCTTCACTTACCGTCAGCGATGTGAAGGTCATGCACATCCCACCAAAGCCATTCAGAGCCAGGGCAATGAATATCAGCACAGACAGAGCTGCAACAATAAAAAACCTGCCCTCAGCTCCCACTGGGGTGCAGAGGGAAAGGAGGCAGAGCCCTAAAGGCTTTGGTCCTGACATGTGGGAACCTCCATGGATCAACACCCTCAGGACATGTCACTAGGCATCTCCCCAGCCACACAGACTGGCAGGGACAGGGCTCTCCTCCAAGGCAGCTCAGAGGGGATGGAAGGGTTCCTTTTCTCCAAGGCACAGACTTGCTGATGCAGCTTGTCTGCTGGGTCTCAAAAGGAAGATTTACTTGAACAAACAATCCAAAGGGTCACTCACTATCTGCTCTTGAGCAGTCAGCTCCATCTACCTCTGCTAAAAAAGCCAATTAACTTTAGGTGCTATTACCTATTTCCCAACCCTGAAAAAGCCAGGAACTCGTTTGGAATTGCTCCTTTACAGGACCTGGCCCTGCCCAAACACAAAACTAAGAGACCTGGGTATCTCAGACGTCTGGCCCTTGCTGCACTCTCCACTCAGTGTTGTGAAACACCAGCCCTTCCCAGAGCCACTTCCCAGGCTCCCTCAGCCTGGCTGATTGCTTGGCTTGTGACCCCCAGTACAGCACTGGGGGGGTGACAGTTTGAACTTTGCTTCCCCAAAAACCCCAAACCAGAGCCCTGCAATGCTCCCAGCTCAGCAGAAAGATGCCAACTTACAGTCTGGGTTACTGGCACCGTACGCAATCAGCACACAGGACACGGCAAAGCAGGCACTGCAAGGGAACCAGAGCCATCAGTTTCTCACAAACAGCCCTGCCCACAGTCAATTACAGCTGCTTCCACCTCCTCAGCACCTCGCAGGGCACTTTCTGTAAGAGGGAGGGAAGCTGGCAAAAAAAATCCAGGGAAATACCCAAATATTACTGGCAAAGAAGTATTACAGGCAAGCCTTGCACAAGGGCTGGGGCAGGAACATTTCCACCCAGCACTGACACAGCTCTGTCTGGACCCAAATTCCCACTGGTTTTCCAGCACAGTTTTTCCAGCCCTCACCTCAGGGTGACCAAAGGCAGCAGCTTTTGTCCTGAGCCCCAGCACTCAACTCTCCTCTGGTAGGGTCTGACTCAGAGACCTGCTCTGTTTTTCCCACTCTGCCCACAGGCCAGTTTGGTTTCTAACCAAGTTCACTACATTAAAACTGTGACAGATAAAACAGTGCTGGGGTCCAGTGATCCCAAAAGTCACTAATCCCTACATGCCATGACAGAAGCAGTTGACAATGTCACTGTTTGAGGCAGAAAGCAACACACACCACATGGAAGAGAAGGGCCCTGGGAAAGGCAACAGGACATGTTTATCCCTGAGTTAACTCCCCAGCCTGCAAACAATGATGTAACATCTTGGTTTTGTGCCTCTCAGGACATAGCTCCCAGCCCAAGGAGAAAGCTACCCTCCCTGACTCACAAATGACTCTGCTCTTCCTCCAGGCTCCATCTGGCCAGGGATCACAGAGCAGCACTGCAGAGCTCAGCTGTGGACACCGAGTCCCAGGCCCTTCCCCTATGGAGCAATGCACTGTGCTGGCTGAAATCACCCCAGAGCTGCTCTGCTGCCTGCACATCCCATCCCTCAGACACTTCCCAAGGCTGCAGGGAGCCCAGAGCACCCAGCCAGGGTGGGAGCTGAGCCCCCAGCCCCTCGAGCCCTGCACACCCACCTGCCCAGCAGCCGCAGCTTGCGGGGGCCGTACTTGTCCATGACAATTCCCAGGGGCAGAGTGATGGCACTGAGCAGGAAGGAGCCAATGGTGAAGGCCAAGTTCAGCATCTCATCCTGGGCGTTGCAGGAAGGCCATTTGTGCTCTGATGCTGTGCTGTTGTCGAGCTCAGAGGTGTTGGTGGTGGTCTCTGCACGGGGTGAGAGAGGACAGTGTGTTAGGATGAGATTTAAAATGCTGCAAAGGAGGGAAGGGGAAAGCCCTGCTGGGTATACACCCTCCACAGTGCAGTTTTTATTCTAATCAGTGAGAAATGGAGAAGCAGAGCAGCAGACGGGTGAGGGAAACCTGATGAGCTCTGCTTTGAGCAGGAAAACACAGCCATGAGACAGGTAGACCATGCAGCAGCAGGGTAAAAACCCAGGGATGGAGATTCATTAATTTATTAAAACAACTATGCAGCAATGGCCTGGCAATTACAGAACACTAAACCCTGCTAAACCCAAGGGATACAAAAATAAGGTCCTGCTAATCTACAGCTGTCATGTTCTCAGAGATCTTCTCCCTAACAAAACTAACGACAGCTACAGCCAAATCAGTTATTTTGGTTCCAGACACCAGGCTGACAAGGCCTGGCACTGAGCAGCAGCCTGCTCAAATGAAAAGCTTCCTACCCTCACTGCAGGCATCAGGATGAAGAATGGCTTTGCAGCAGCCACCCTGCTTTGACTGCCCTGGCTCTGAAAAATCCTTCCTGGATTTAACTACCCTGTTCCCAGGGGGGCTGGCAGCTCACCTGCCTTCTCTGTTTTCTTAAAGCATGGATGCATCTTTAAGTCCTACCCTGTAATTAGCATTTTCTATTCTTTCAAAATGGGTTTAGGTCACACAGATCAATTATACCCCCAGCTTTCTGTTCTTCTGTTCTTGCCCTTACATGAGGAACTCTGCATGCAAACTCCCACGCTGAACAGAGCCCACGTTGTGTAACCAAGACAGAAACAGGACAGTTCAAAAAAAAAAAAACAAAAAAGAAAAAAGAAAGGAAAGAAGTCCCCTTTTACTGCCTCATGTCAGCTCTTCTCCTGTTACATGCCTATCCCAAGGCTGCTTACAACTCCTCGAGTGAGCTGTGTGTGCCTTCAGACTGCCATTAACTCACAGCTCCAGTGCACTCCAGCTCTCCTCCTCCCAACACTTATCTGGAACCTTTGCTGCTATGACAAAGCACTTGCTCTCTTGCTGCTGCTGCAAGGCAGTGATATCAAACACTCTCCTTCTTATTTAATAATTGATCTGACAAAGTTCAGTACTAAAGGAGGAACAGAGAGAGAAGTCACAGACATAACCACCAGCATGAAGTGAGGCTGGAGATTCCCAGCGAGCCCAGGTTAGTTTAGTTAATTAGCAGGAATCCCTCATGTGCAAGTGGCTTTCCATTCCCTGCTTGCTGAGGCTGGTGGGGGAGATCCCCAGGCTGCTCTGTGTTAGCTCTGGAGGTGGCACAGCCCCACCTTGCTCCTCCCTCTCCTTCTACTCAAGCCCAGCTCCTCTGCAGTTACTGGCTTCAGCCTGGCTCTCCCAGCTGCCCTAAACCACCCTCCCAGCTTTGTGTCCACTGCAAACAAACCTCACCCCACCTTCCTGCCTTCAGGTATCAGCAGGAACTCAGGCACTGATATCTGAGGCCTTGGAGCTGCCTCTGCCCCCTCCCAGCATTCCAGGGAAGGCTGGGGCATTTCTCCCCATTGACATTGCTCCCATCAGCATCTTTGCTAAGATTGCTTCTAACTGCCTGTGTTCCTTTCCACTGCCATGTGCTCCTCACTGATAACCTAATCTGCCCCTTCTCTTGTGCTGTTAGCCATGGATAGCCAGAGTAAGCAACAAATATTCCCAAAATGTCACATGTGCCACCAGCAGCATCTCCTCTGCACGGAGGGCAGTGCACTGAGGCACCCGAGTCACATCCTTAGGAATCAGTCCTGGACAGACTTTGGGAGCCTCTCTGCAGTTTTCACCCACAGCATCAAGGCTTTTGGGCTCTCCACAAAGATAAATTCATAGGAAACAGATGTGGGTGAGAGGTGAAACTCGGGAAAACAAGGAGGAGGAGGGGGGGGAATTGACAAAGTAGTAGCAGTTTCCCTGTGTCAGCACTCTCCAGAGATAGCTCAGCTGAGGAGTGGAAGGAGGGTGGAGGGACACGAACAGTGCAGTGACCTTATAACTTCTGCACGTGTTAAAGCCTCAGTAACCCTCTCCACACAGATCTCCAAGCAGGAATTCTCAGCCTTTAAAGCTGGAGAATACAAATTCCTGTTCATGTTTTGATATGTTCACTGCTGCATGTCCCCAAGGAGCTCACACAGCACACACCATGACGAGTGTGCATGAGGTGAGGACACAGCTCAGAAACAGCAGAGAAATTTGCCCCTCTTTGAACACTGGAAAGCTGAGAATGGGACACCAAACTTCACTCCCTGCCTGTACCAACCACCTTGTTTACAGCTGCTGGGCGCCAGCTCCAAGGAGGGGCCAGGCAACAGCGCTATGTGGAAATACAAATTGTTTGTGAAAATAGAAGCAGCCCCTGAGCAACAAGAGAAGATCCACTGAGGCGTAATGGAAATGATTCCAGCAGCCCTTGGCACCCTGACATCCCCTGATCCTTTGAGCCACCTCCATAAATAGAACATTTTGGAAGGGCTGCAGGTGTGTGCTGCAGGCACAAGGTCCAGCCAAGAGCCGGCTCATCCACGAGCAGGGATTTGGGTGCCAGCAGCTCGTTGGCACAGGACACAGAGTGGCAGCACAGGACACGCAGCTAGGAGGGGCTCACTGGGCAGAGAACCTGCCTAAACTACTCACCTACCGCGTGCACCTGGCTGCAGCAGGCAGCAGCTTCCCCTCAATGCCAGCTCAGATCCCGTTCCAGATCGGTGCGTGCCACACTCCCGGGAAAATCTCCATGCCTGGCTCCATCTGGAAAACTGCTCTGGGCAAGGACTGGCTCTGTGCCCAAGGTGCTGCCCTCCCCAAATCCTCCTGCATGCAGCACTCGAGGTGTCACACCCGGGCAGGGCAGCAGCACAAGGGCTGTGCTCACTCACTGCTGCCTCACTGACAAGGCAGCAGAAGCTACAAGTCTTTACCAGCAATTACAAGAACATTGCTGCCTATTTTTACAGCACTCCCCACACAAGCAGCAGGATTTCTACTGCCCAATTAGTAGTTCAAGTTACTATTTAAAGAATGACAGCTTAGGTAAGGAGAAGGCTGCCTGGGTAATCATTTGTGTCAAGATCATTGCTGGGATTTGTTCAGGCTGGAACATTCAAAGCCATCCTTTCTCCAAGCAGCAGGTCAATCATTAACTGCTCTTCACTGACCTCTTCAAATCCCAGGCACACACACACACCCCCCACATCACCAGAGGAACGAGTCTGGCTTTTCCAGCAGTGACTGCCATCTCAGATAGCAGAGAGCAGCTTTCCTTTCATCTTATTTCAGATGCAGACTGAGTCAAAAAGGCAAGACACCCCCAGCCACCCTGACAATAGTTCTGTCACAGCCTGCACACCCTCATCTTTCTCCTCTTTTCTTTATAGAAGAAGAAAAAAATAAATGGAGGGAAAAAAAAAAAGACAGAAATCAAGGGCAAAGAACAGGGAGTATTGGTTTAAAAAAATAGCACACTGAAAGACATGTGCAAACAACTGATTCTGCAGTCTGCCCACATAAGAACATGTTTTCTCTTTTTAGGATGGTGTCATACTTCTGGGAACTGGGAGGAGATGTTCTTGCTTTGTACCACTGCAAAAGCAATTTATTCGGGTTTCCCTGCCCTTCCACTTGCACTTCCAGGACCCCCTCTCTGGGTGCCTGAAAGCTTCATATGACCAAGGCACAGTCCCAGCTAAACTCCCCTTCTCTGCCCAGCTGTGGTTTCATTTTGCAGCTGCTCTCAGCCAGCACCTTCCCACGACAGCTGCTGATCAGCACAGTGTGTTTCCTGTACAAACTGAATATTTACCACCTTTACTCTTTTCCTGTTTACAGCCCCACACGTGCAGCCCTTCCACAAATCCTAGCTGTCATATCTGCCCAGATTGTGAGGGACCTTCAGACTGCAAGTTCCCCACCCAGAGCTCAGATAAATAAGGGAAAAGAGCTGTAAGGCAGCACCTTCCCCCTCTGACCACGTCAGGGCTCGTTAACTCGCTGTGAGTGAATTAGCTTATCATCCCTTTGGTACTCTGCGGCCCTGTCTTAGAGGAAAGCCCTCTGTGCCCCTTATCTCTGCGCTTTGTGAGCAAGATTATCAAGTTCAGGACATTTCTCTTTCTTCAAGCATGTTTCAGACCCAAGCGTTCAGCTTCCCAATCCCAGAAACATCATAGCAAGGCAAGGCCCTGGACTGATCAAATTCCCCCAGAGCTGATAAGGCCCAGAACGGTGATAAAGACTGTGGAGTCAGCACTTGCAGGAATAAAAAGATGCTGCTTCAGTTGGTTAAAGGCCAAGTAGTAGTGTAGTAAAATTAAAATGGGAACAAAGTGCTACTACCAGGCTCCTTGTCAGCGAATTTCAAGCATACCTCAGGAGGTGGCCCAGCGGGTACAACCCCCCACTCCAGCCCTGTTGCACAACTGCTCTAAAAATACTTTATTTTTGGCCCCCAAGTGTCCATCTCCACCCTATGTTACTGAGTTAAGGGTCCATTGGACCCCACGTTTGTACAATAGGTGAGTAAAATCCAACACAAGGAGCCAAGGGCAAGCAAGGGATTCAACAGGGAGACAAGGAGCCCTTCATGAACTGCAGCACTTTCTGGGCAGCTGCTGATACCTTCAGAGAAGAGCCTGCAGAAGGGACAAGGTCTAGTTTTGCCTTTCATTGGAAAGCATCACAAAGTACAAGAGCTTATGCTGACAAACTGAAAGCCCTGCCAAGAACCTTTGGCTCATTAGGAAAATTCTATTTTTTTTTTTCCTTTGCAATACTTACATGCCCACCGCAGCATTAGGAACAACAAGTGCCCAAAGGCTACTCGTCATTATTTGTTTGCAGCAGCCTTCCAGCCAAGTTGGCTGCCGGATTCAATAGGTTACACTGAAAAAGGCAACCACTGGGTCACCCTAATGCCAGCAAAGGCAAAACTCACTTTGGGGCTGGTCATTGAGAGCCTCCACACACTTGGAGCCAGGAGTCTTCCCCACAAAACTCTTCCAGAGAGGACAAACCCAGAGAAATGAAAGTGAGTCAGCACAGATTAATGCCCCCACAGCTCATCACAAACCATCACGGAGCTCAGAAGTGATGGCCAGATATTTGAGGACAATGAGAACATTTGACTGCACAAATTTCTTCTCAGGGATTAAGCTTTCTTGCCTCGGGGCACAGGTTGGCCACTGGGAGGGAGCAGCTGCCCCCAGGGCAGCGATTTCACAGCAGTCCAAACATTTGCATCTTCCCTGTGGTCTGTGGGCATGGGCACTCCCAAGGGGAGAGCCAAAAAAGCCACAGGCTGGGGAACAGGAGTGACAAACCGAGGTGAACCTCAGTGATCCGGGACAAACTGAAAGCAGCCAAGGCAAAGAGCAGGAGGTGGGCCCTCAGTGAAGCTCTTGTCAGCAGAGCACATCTCAGGAAGCAGACAAGAAAACGCCTGCTCGCAGAGACAGTCAGCATTTGCTTATCAGCTCCCGTGTGCTTTATCTGCGTGGCAGAAAGTCTCCATCTGATGGGTTTAACGTGATCTCTCGGCTGTGACAAAGTCTCCCTGGTGTGGAGGGAACACAGCAGCCTGGGACAGAAGTCCTGCAGGGTGTCCTGGCACTGGGAGTGTCCCTCACACACAGGAGTGCTCCTGGGGACACTGAGTGACAGGGAGTGCAGCATGGAGATGGAGCGGAGTGCAGCATGGAGATGGAGCTGCCAAACTGCAGCTGATAAAAGGCTCAAACATGTGCATTTTTGCCAGGTGCACCAACCCAGGCCCTGGTACAGAAAGCAGGGGAGATAAGCAGCTGATGAAGGAGCAAAACCATCAGCTGATGAATGAGCAAAATCATCACATCATTCGCAGGTAACTTTGTCTGGACTTTGCTTCCCCACACCTCAGTTTACCCCCACTGTTCTCAGCCATCACTCAGCCGAGGCTCCATGCACTGATTTCCAACTCTTTTCACAAACTGCTTCCTCCACCAGCCCCAGATGGGCTGATCCAGTCTCAGTCCCCATCACAGAGCCCAAACTGCCTCTCTTCACTCTGCTCTCCCCTCCTCTGAGCACAAGCAAACCCTCAGCCACCACAAATCCACACCACACCTTTACCTCGGGTTCCTTTTCACCCCACTGACCACCCAACACTCTGTGGGGTGCACAATTCTCTCCATGCTCAGACTGGGGACAGATGTCCACCTCCAGGCTGTTTTCCCAGATTACCATTCCCACATCACAGATTTATCTCTCCCCTTCCAGGCTGTGTCTGCAGCAGGGACAGTCACTTCTGGCTGGGGCAGAGGGTAAATCTCAAGCCCTCACAGAAACACAGCCTGGTTTGAGCACATCCTGGGTGCTTGAAGGAGGAGAGGAATGATCAGCAGTATTTAATTCTGCAAATTCTCCTCAACAGCTGCACTGGACTGCCCTGATATTATTGCCACCCATGCTCCTTGTTTTCTCACCACTAAGGACAAAGTTCCTCTTATAAACCCAGGACAACCTCCCCAAAAACCATCATCCTCCAGAGCCCTTGCAGAGGAAGAGCTCATGGCCAAGTAGAAAAGACCATCCAGAAAAGCTCTACCCCATCTTTAAAGCTCCTTTTCCCAACCACCCTACAAAACAACAGCACCTCCAGGCACACTGCACCATCACAAGGTTTTAGGAAAGAGCACAAATCCCTTTCCTTCTCCCCTGGGATCAACATGGAGCTCAGCCCTCCTCCAACCACCTCCACACCCCCCTGCAGCAGGGAACCACACCAGCAAACCTCAGCAGCACCTTACCCCGACACGAGCCCAAAAAACACTTACCTAGGCCGTAGCACAGGTAGGAATAAAACCCTTCAGCCTTCAGCATGATGAGCAGGGACCCCCAGCCCAGCAGGACGGCCGAGAAGAGCAGGTTCTCGATGATGGCCGTGAACGCCATCCACCAGCGCCGCCGGTGCGCCGTGGCCAGCGTGGGGGCCATGGCTGCCTGGGGGGGTGGCCTCCTCCTTCAGAGCCTCAGAACCTGCAGGGAGCAACGCCCAGTGAGCCCACGCTGCTCAGAGAACATGAAAACCCCCGTGGTTTAAGGGATGTCCTCACTGAGCACCCAGGCAGAGCTGCCTGCTGGATGGCAGGGACTCGGGTGCAGAACTGGTTTGTGCAGGTGCCAGCCTGCCAAGGGACCTGCAGGGGTGGGGGAGGCACAGGTGCCCTTGGAGAGCCCCTGGGTGCTCGCTCAGTGACACAGGGCCCTGCTCAAGGACTCTGTTCCACTGCCCGAGCAGCAGGAATGAAAATGCAGCAAACAGCCTGGAACCCACTGCCCCTGCACGGGGCAGGCACTGAGGGGATAAACGCCAGGACAGGACCCTGATGTCCCCACTGCCACCAGGCTGGGATGGGGACACAGCCCCACATCCCAGAAGTGGCTTCAGAGACCCACCAGGTCTGCTCTGCCCCGTGCAAAGGCACAGACCTGCCCTGGAAGGTGCAGAGGGGTCTATAATTGCAGTTTATCACCAATATATCACCAAGGAGCACTTTTTGCTGCCTGCCAGGCCAGCCAGCTGTGAGACACCGCAGCTCAGTGATATCTCCAGGCTGCCCCAGATGCAAGAGCTGCATAAACTGTGCCCAGCTCCACTTGTGCCAGTCCCTGGAGCCCACGGGAGCGAGCAAATTGGGGAACACACCTGGCCAAGGGGACAACCTGACCGTGGAGAGCCCCGAGTGTCACAAGGCAGGTGGCCCTTCTGAGCCAAGCTGAGGCTTTTCCCAGCCCAGGCACACCTCAGGCTGCACTGTGGGGAAAGCAGCTGGCCACACAGCCAGCCAGGGCAGTGTCCCTTATTGGTGACACCAGCACCGGGGGCTTTGGCAGGTGTGACCCAGCAGCGATGCCTGGGGGTCAGGGCTCCCTCCCAGCCATAGAAGCCGGTTCAGAGCCCCCCCTCACCCACAGCGCAGGCCCGCTGCCCCAGCACAGCCCACAACGCATTTCCTCCATCACCTCCTCCTCCTCTTCCTCATCCCTGCACAGCCCCCTGCCCAGCCCCGCCATCCTCTCTGCGACAAGAGCCGCAGCCCGCTGTCCCCGCTGCCAGCGGTACCCCGGGGCCCCCCAGCACAGCCCACCCCCACATCACCCCCGCAGCATCCCACACCCCCAGGGAGCCCTGCAGCACCCCCAAAGAGCCCTTCAGCCTCCCACACCCCCAAACTGCCCCGCAGCATCCCCCAAAGAGCCCCGCAGCATCTCCTCCCTCCCCGCCATGCAGCCCCCCACCCACGCTCCCCTCTCCATCCGCTCTCCCTCCGCCGCCTGCCACTCCCACGCGTGAATCCCTCCATGCCCCCCACCCTCCGCAGTGCCCCCTCTCTCCCATGCAAACCCCCGGCAGCCCCCGGCGCGGTGTCCCCGCCGCCCCCGGTCCGCGCCCCGCTCACCGCCGGTGCCGCGCCCGCTCCGCTCCGCCGCGGTCCCACCCGGGCTTTTTATCCGGCCTCCGAGGCAAAACAGGCGCGCCCGCTGATTGGCCGCCGCCTCAGCCAATGGCCGCGCGCGCCGCTGCCGCTGGGGCACGTGCCGGTTCGCGTACCCCCCCCCTGCCCCCTCAGGGCCCCCTCCCGGGACCCCCTCACGGGACCCCCCCCCACACACATCCCCACGGGATCACACCCGGATCTTAGCCCGGGACCCCCGGGATAGTCCCGAGATCCCCCCACGGGATCACCCCGGGATCTTAGCCCGGGACCCCCGGGATAGTCCCGGGATCCCCGATATCTCCTCCTGGGACCCCCCCGGTATTTTACCCCGGGATCCTCATGGTACCCCCCGCTCTCTCCCATCAGTACCCCCCGATATCTTCTCCCGGTAATCTCCCCATTTCTTCCCCCCGGTAACCCCCGATAACTACTCATTGTTATCCCCCAAGTACCTCTCACACCCAGGTATCCCCTGATATTTTTCTCCTCCGGTACTCCTGTAGTACGCCTCGATATTCCACGGGACCCCTCCCGGTGTACAGGTACCCCCAGTACCTTCCCACACAGACCCTCATACACACAGACAGACCCTCACACACACAGAGACCCTCACACACACAGACCCTCACACGCACACACACCCGAACTGTGGTCGGACTCGCCGCCTTCCAGGGCAAAGCGACAACCCCGGGCTCGGCGGCGGGAGGTGAAGCGGCTCCCCCGCCCGGCCCGGCGCGGGGACAGCGAGACCGCCCCGCGGGCTTTGCTGCCGCTCTCCGCCGGTCTCCGCCGGCCCCGGGCGGCAGCCGCGGGAGCCGCACCGCGGAGCGGCTGCTGTGAGGGAGGAGAGCCCCGCCGGGCATGGGGAGCCGTGTGGGGAACGGCACCCTCGGCATTGCTGCGGGCACGGGCACCGGATCGGTCCTGCGAGGTCTGCCTGGGCTGCTCCAAGAGAGAGACCTGAGAAGCTGTTCCACCCCATAAAAAGGGTATTTTGGGAACACCAGCCAAACCAGCCCTGGGCTGACCACCCTCACGGCATAGCGGGACAGGGCAATGAGCCCTTCAGACACCCCAGCCAACGACACAGCTCGTTCAAAGAGTCACAGAAAGGTTTGGGTTGGAAGGAACCTAAAATATCATCTCATTCCACCCCCTGGCATGGGCAGGGACACCTTCCACCAGATGAGGTTGGTCCAAGCCCCATCCAACCTGGTCTTGGGCAGTTCCAGGGGTGGGGCAGCCACAGATTCTGTGGGCAACCTGTGCTAGGGCCTCACAGCCAAGAATGTCTTCTCAATATCCCATCTAAGCCTGCCCCCTGTCAGCCATTCTCCCTTGTCCTGTCACTCCATCCCTTGTCCAAAGTCCCTCTCTAGCTCTCTTGGATCCCCTTTAGGTACTGGAAGTGCTATAAGGTTTCCCTGTACTCTTCTCCAGGCTGAACCCCCCCAGCTCCCTCAGCCTGTCTGTAGCAGAGCTGCTCCAGCCTCTGATCATCATTGGGTCTTCCTCTAGCCTTGCTCCAACACATCCTGTCCTTTTTATGTTGGAATCCTCACAGCTGGATACAATACTCCAGGTGTCATCTTAGGTGAGCAGAGTAAAGGGGGAAAATCCCCTCACTAAACCTATTGATCACACTGCTGGGGATACAGCCCAGTTTCATGAAATAAAGTAATATCATTACAAGCCAGCTTCACATCTGACTTCACCGCAACTCTGCCTTCCTTTTTTTCTGTTAAATTATTTTGCAGAGCATTCCTCTGAGGTATTTCTAGACCTTCCATAAATCCTTCCCTCAATGGGGAGGTCCTGGCTCAGAGGACGTGGCCATAAATCCCTGGAATCTTTACAGGGGATATTTTCTCATCCAAAGCAGATGAAAACAGCGTTTGTGGCAGGTAAACACCCCAGAGGAAGCAGAGGGCCCCAGACAGACGGACGTGTCCCCACCACTCCATCCCTGTGGCGGGTGGGAAGAGGAAACTCCCCGGCCTTGGCGGTGGGAGAGGGATCAAACGTTTCAACAGCTGGAAAGTGGATTTAAGCCAATGCAAACAAACAAACAAAAAGCCCAAAGAAAACAAGGCAGCCTGGATTGGTGCCAGGTGTTTAACAGAGGTAGAAGAAGGCTGAGGCAGCACGAGACCCAGGAGACCTCAGCACCCAGACCTGGCTGCTGCGTCCAAGAAACACAAACTGTGACGGGGAGGAGCGTGAGGAGGGTTCCGAGGCTGTTTGGGGTCACGGGAACCCTCTGCCTCAGCAGGAGCAGGGAGGGCTCAGTTTTCCTATCCTAGAAGGAGAAAAGCTATCAGGTGATCCGTGGCCAGCTATAAATACCCCAGGGATTGAGTAAACAGCATGGGGAGAAAAAAAATAAAGTGAGGCCGAAGAACAGCACTGACACAGAGACGTGTTTTTAGAAACTGGCCAGGAATGAGTTTAGCTGGGAGGGAGGTGGCAGCTCCTGCTCTGGCACAGGCGTTGGGCTAAATGATGTGGTGATCCTCAAAGGCTTGGGCAGTTTGGGAAAGGAGATGACAGGGCTGACAGGATGACAAGGACAGACCACCATGGGACAGACCCCAGGAACAGCTCCAGCCTCTGCTCCTGCCCCAGCAGAGCACACAGACACCTCTCTGCTTACACACAGCACCTGCACGTGGATCCCTTCCCACTGCCTGCCTTCCAAACGCTGCAGCAGCTCTGCAAAGTCAGAAATCCAGCACGGGAAGAGATTCCCCAGCCAGCTCTGCCTTGCAGACCTCCCACACCCAGAGCTAACCCGACAGAAGCATCCCCAGCAAGCAGCACCAGCGCAGCCACGCTGCAGGAGCGTGCATGGGCAGCCACACGCTGGAAATCTGCAGCTCATTTCCCTTTCACTGCCCAGACACGACCAAGATGCTCCATCTTCAAGCAGGGGAAACATCCTGGCTCCTTGGACAAGGAAGGCTCTCCCAGCAGTAGCGTTTTCTCAAGCCAGGCACTGGTTTGAGGCTGTGAGGTTGTTGTCAGCTATTTACATGCTGCACCCAGAGTGAACTGGCTCACGTGGTGTTCACTTCTGGCACAGCACTGCTCAGCTCACAGGCTCAAAATATCCATCCCATTAGGGAAAAAAAATGGCTGCTTATAAATCAAATGTGGGACTGTCCCTGCTGCTGTCATAAAATGGTGTCAAAACAAAAGCAAGCCCATGCAGAACAGGCTGCTGCTCCAGTCCTGCCAGGATGAGCAGTTTTATTTGGATGCCAGAATATTTGGTGTTATAATCCCAGCAGCAGATGATTCCACTGCAGGAAAGGGTGCTTTGTGCTGGTTGCAAAACTAGAAGCTTCAGCCACGTCAGACTGTGGGGATTTGGTGCCTTGTGCTGTGGAGAAGCACCCATGGGAAGCAAAAGGGAAAAAGCAAAACCCACTGTGTTTTCTGAAACACCCCAAACCCTGAAGCCCAGCTGAGCAGTGCCAGACCAGAAGGATTCACGTGGAGCTCTGCACATGATGTGTGAGGTGCAGGCTGCAGCAGAGGGGCTCTGGACACTCACAGCCCACTCACATTCCTCCTGCACTCCAGTCTTGGGCTCTGCACAGAGCTCAGCTCAGTGAGTGAGAATTCAGATTTCAACAGAGATAGAAAATCTAAAATAAAAATCCCAAACGGAAAGCCTGAGGCTGCTGACAGTTTCCACACTCTGGAGAATATTCCTGTTTATATCTTTGACTCAAAGGGCGGCTGGGAAACCCATCTCCTGAAGGGCATTTAATTTTCATTCCAAGGCTTTCACACCAAGTGAAATAACAGAAAAAAAAAATACACAAAAACCTTCTACTACTTAGATACATCTAAAACCAGATCACTCTGCAAATCCTCTTTAGCATCTCAGCTGCCTTCACAGCAGGAATGAGGCATGGGAGGTGGCAAGAGCTTAGGGCACCCGTGGAAATCCCATTTTCCAGGCAACTTCCATCCTTATCAGCACAGCACCAGGTGCACAGGTTGATGGTCACTGCCCAGCTGCCACGTTTGCACAACTGCAGCTTGGAACTGTGTGGAGTTAAAAAGGCTGTCACTACCCCCTGTGTCCTGCCACGAGCTTTTGCACATGGAAGCAAAGGCGGCCAGGCCCTGCCACAGAAGCCAGAGCCACACAGATAAACCCCTGCAGACCCAGATACCCTTTTGAGATAAGCAGCTAAAATTAATTTTCTCTGAAGCTGCTTGTGACAGCCCATCATCTCTCTTCTGTCCAGCTCCACAAAATACTCCCTTTCAGTGAGAAGCACCTTTGCAGCAAGAGGCTCAGGGGAATTGGGGCAGGGAAAGGTGAAAACCGATGGGGTGAGAGTGGATTTTATGCACGCATTTCCCAGCTGAGCACTCAGCAGCCCAGTGGTGACAGGGGTTTGAGGGTGCCACCACAGCATCCAGAGCATCGCTGTCCCCTGGGGCTGTGCAGCCACAAGTGGGGCTGGTAGGGCAGCGAGGAGCAGAAAACAGCCCTCAGGCACCACAACCCCACCGGCTGTCCCCGCTGTGGCCCCAGAGCTGAGGGGGTCACCAGGAAGGCTCGATGCTTCTCCAGTTCCCAGCTCGGAGCAGAGGAGGTCACCAGGAAGGCTCGATGCTTCTCCAGTTCCCAGCTCGGAGCAGAGGAGGTCACCAGGAAGGCTCGATGCTCCTCCAGTTCCCAGCTCGGAGCAGAGAGGGTCACCAGGAAGGCTCGATGCTCCTCCAGTTCCCAGCTCGGAGCAGAGAGGGTCACCAGGAAGGCTCGATGCTCCTCCAGTTCCCAGCTCGGAGCGGGCTCGGCTGCCCAGGCCGGGGTTGGAGGAGCTCCCGGTGCTCCCGCGGCCCCAGCCCGGGCGGTGCCGGCTCAGGAGCCCGGGGAGCTGCCCGGCAGCTCCTTGCCGGGGCCGGAGGGCGAATCAGCACCGCTGCTGGCCACGTTCTCATATTTCGGCTCTTCCTCCGCGGCAGCCTGTCCCTTCCTTTCCAGGCTGCCAGCTAACTCCGGGCTTTTCCCCTTCTCTGCGGTTTCGCTGGCCCCGTCTTGGGCACCGGTGCTTTTTGACGAGAGGGATGCGAGGAGGAGGGACAGTCTCTTGGCAGCGGGATGCTGCTGCTTGCCCGGGGCTGGTTCGGCAGGAGCCCCCGGCACACTCTCCCTCTGCTTGCAGCTGTTCTCCGAGTCCCTGCGCTGCGCCAGAGCCCGGCGAGGGGGTTTCTGGATGGCCTCCATGCTCTTCCTCACCTTGGGCTCCTCCTTCGCAGCCCACTTGCCCTTCTGCAAGCTGCCCAGACGCTTCAGCACAGCCTGGACCGGTCCCTCGCCAGTCCCCTCCGCCTTGGGGTCCTGCCCTGCCGTTCCCACCATCATGTAGATGGTGGTGACACTGGGCTCCTTCCCCTTGGCCTCCCAGCTGCCGCATCTCGCAGCCGCTTCCAGCGCCTCCACTCTCTGTGCCACATGCCTGGTGCTGGACACCACCCTGCGCCGTCCCCCCGGCGTGGCCCGGGGCGATGGCCGGTGGCTTTCGTCCCCCTTGCCAAGGGGCTCGGCGTTCTCGTAGCAATCGCTGGCCGGGCTCTCGCTGGGCGGCTCGGCCGCAGCATCCCCCGGCGGTGGGGTCAGCCTGGATGGGCCCCACGGAGCCTTGGGCTTCCTACTGGGGCTGGGCGTCTCGGCAGCCCCGAACTTTGTCCCCTCGGCGAAGGACACAGAGGGTCGCTTGGCCTTGGCGATGCTGGAGGTGCGGGGGATGGCGAAGGGCTGCGAGACATCCTCGGAGTCGAAGGCGGACGGGTCCGGGAGCGCCTCGGCAGCGGGGGATGCTCCGTCCTGCAACTCAGCCCCGCCCAGCAGCGGGATGCCTGTGGGACAAGGTGACACGTGTTACAGCTGCCACCCTGCCCGGGGACTCAATCAGGGACACTGGGACAGGAGCTGATGCAATAGGATTGTCCCTGGGAACGTTTCCCAAGGAGGAGGTTGTGAAATGGGGTTGCCCCACTGGGCACGTCCCATCGCAGGCAGCCAAACACAGCCCTGCAGACAGGAAAACAAGGACAAGGAAATAAACACTGTCTGTGCCAAGTACCGCTCCCTGGGACGGCCAGGATTGACCCCAGAGGTGAGCAGAGAGGAGGAGGAGCAGCCATGGGCGTCACCTTCTCTGGGAGGGACGGAGTACTCGGGTCCCTCGTTGTCGGTGTCGAAGGAGGAAAAGGAGCTGTCTGAAACCCACGCAGACGATGGGGGCTCGATGAAGCTGGGGTTGTAGGGGATTTCCATGTCGTGGTGGGAAACTGGGGAAGAAAAGACACCCAGCTGAACTTGAGCACCCCAGGGTGCTCAGAGGAGAGGGCTTTCAGGCTTCCCCCCAGGCAGAGAGTGCAGCACTTCTGGAAGTGCTGTGGGCAGCTCTGCCTTGCTCACCTGTGACTTTGGGAAGTTTTGAGGTGCCCAGATTAAAGCAGGGCATGAGAGCACTGAGGTTGGCCAGCACCCCCTGCACGTGGTGCTTCATCCTGGCCAGCACACCATCGTCTGGCACAGCCGCCCTGCGGAGCAGAGAGGGACATCAAGGGACACAGGACATGGGGGTTTGTGTCAAAGGCTGAAAAATGTGAAAAAATACCTGTCTCTGGCATCTTCTGAGCCAGCACCACAGCAGCAACAGGCGACACAGAGCAGCAGCAGCAGGAGAGGGACAAGGATGGCAGCTGCAAGGGCTCCATGGTCCTTCAAACCTGTGTGAGGAGATGGGCTGAGTGTGGCATGTCCTGTGGCTGTGACACCTACAGAACAGCCCTGCATGGAGAGAGCAGGAGCTGACAACTCCCAGTGGGGCCAGGAGGCACTAACATGCATCCCAGCATCTTCCCCAGTGAGGATGTGACCACCCCCTGCCCAGAAATGTGAGGTTAATCTTACTCAGCACACAGGCACCCTGCACAGGGTCACAGGTCCCTCGGGAGCACTGGCAGGGTGAGGAACAATTCACTCCAAAATAGCCCTCGGGACAGGTGTCGTTGCAGCTGGAAAAGAGAGGAAAGGAGGGAAATACCCCCAGAGAGAGAAAGGCACCAGCCCAGCCCCACTCCCAGCATTTTCCTGGTCTTACCTGTCTCCCCAGTAGCCTGCCTGGCAGATGCAAACTCCTGTCACAGGGTCACAGCTCCCCGAAACACATTCGGGGCAGAGGAACTGACAGCCATCACCAAAGGTGCCCACAGGGCAGGAGATGTTGCAGCTGCCAAAACAGAGCAAAGCATCAGTGACTGCACCCCAGAGCAGGGACACCCCAGGGACCAGGGCCCTCACTCTGGGCATACCTGGGTCCCGTCCAGCCGGGGTCACAGCGCAGGCAGGACCCGGTCTGGGGGTCACAGGGCTCCCCGTGCAGGCAGCGGGGACACGGCTGGAGGCAGCCATCCCCATGGAATCCAGGAGCACAGGGATCCTTGCAGAGGGTCCCGTTCCAGCCAGGCTGGCAGGCCAGGCAGAAACCATCCACGGGTGAGCAGGGCTGGCTGCGCTTGCAGCTCCCACAGCTGTGTGGGCAGAGAGGCACTGGGGTCACAATGCCCAACCTTTGTACCCCTAAAAAGCAGCTTTCACCCCACAAAAAGCAGCTTTCACCCCACAGAAACATTGAGCACCATTTTGGACCGAGGGGAAATGCACAGTGGTGCCTAATGCTCTGTGGTAGCAAGAGGAGAGGAGGGCAGCAGAATCACAGAATATTCTGAGTTGGGAGGTGCTGTTTTATCACCATGGGGAGCGAGATTAAGGAGGACCAGATTTTAGGGTGACACTTTCTGCTGACATTAGCGAGGTGTTTCTTTCGGGGCAACGCTGATGCTGCATCCACCCTGGGATGCTCAAACCCAGGACAGGTCTCCCTACCCAGCCAAAGGCACAGACACAGGAGCAGTGCCTTCCCCCACGATCTGTCTGCAGCCCGCTGGATCCCGCAGCTCCCCCATCTCACCTGTGCACGCACTGAGAGCCGTATTTCCCCGCCGGGCAGGGCTCCCGGCAGCTCCTGCCCTGGTAGCCGGGCTCGCAGGTGCAGTGGCCGGTGGTGGCACTGCAGGAGCCGTGCCCGCAGTCGCAGCGCCGCTGGCACGCCGGTCCCCAGTAGCCAGGCAGGCACTCGCACTTGCCCGTCTCCTGCGCGCAGGGCGACACATTGCAGGAGCACTTGAAGCTGCACCTCCTGCCCCACCAGCCCGGCTGGCAGCGGCACAGCCCGCTCAGGGGGTCGCACTGCGACGTGGAGGGGTTGCACGGGCATTGCTTCTTGCAGTTGGGTGCCCACCAGCCCGGCTCGCAGTGGCAGGCGCCGCTCAGGGGGTCGCAGCGGCCGTGGGGGCCGCACTGGCACGGGAACTGGCACAGCCCTCCCCAGTGGTTGGGGTCGCAGGTGCAGTGCCCGCTGGCGGGGTCGCAGCGCCCGTTGGGGTGGCACGGGCAGCTCCGCTTGCAGTCGTGGCCCCAGTACTGCTCGGGACAGCCTGCCAGGGGAAAGGACACGGGCAGGATGGGGAGAAAGAAGCCCGGCAGCCCCCCGAGCATCCAGCTGGATTTACAGGGGGATGGCAGGGGCTGGGCGCGGGGAGGGCACTCACGGGAGCTGCAGTCTGCTCCGAAGAAGCCGGGCTGGCAGCGGCACAGCCCGGGTTTCACGCACACCTCGCCCTCTCTGCAGGCGTCCTCCCCCTCGCACACGGCTGTCGGGGTAGGAAAGGCACTCAGCACTCTCTGGCCAGGGGTCATACCCCACCTGCCACCCACCCAGCTCCTGCAGGGACAGCATTCCCAGGGACAGCACCATCCCGCGTCCCGCTCCATCCCATCACCCTGCTGGTGATGCAGCACCATCAGCACCTGGGGCTCCCCTCGGAGCAGGACCTCTCTCAAGGAGAGCTGAGGGTTTGCCCAACACTCAAATGATCCACCCGGGTGAGCGTGGGGACCACGCTTTGGGATTCACCCCATCCATCACTCACCGACCGTGCACGCCCTGCCCTCCTGCCTCCAGCCGGGACAGCACTCCGGGCCGGCCGCGAACCTGCGGGACAGACCGGGGGTGTCAGGCAGGCCCGGGGGGCCAGGGCGGCTCCATGGCCCCGGCCGAGGCACAGCGATGCTTGCCCCAGTGCTGAGAAGGCGGCGTGGCCCCCAGGGCAATGCTCCGGAAGGAAACCAGAAAAATAGAAGGAAATTTAGGAGGCTGCTGCCCGAGTGGGCGGCTGGGATGGGATGGGCTGGGCTGCCCGGAGCGCTGGGAATGTCCCCACGGAGCCGGGCCGGGTGTCCCTTGCCCTGGGAGAGGCTCAAAGCTTCACCAGCAGTGCACAAATGAGGCACCGAAGTGAAGGTCATGAGAGGCATCACTAATGATGGGAGACAATGGGAGTGGCAATAAATTCGGGGGACATCAGTCCCAAAGCTCTTTGAGGCTTGCTACAGCGACATTTCCCCACAATGAGTTTTGCCATGGGTCCCGTATTGCCCCGTTGCCCTGCACTCCGATGGTGAATAAGAAATAAACCCTGGAGAAGGGATCTGATGCCCCAAATGCCCAGACATGCCCCAGCTACACTCCCCAGCACCACCCCAGCCTGCACCCACCCCGTGCCAGGCTGCACATCCCTGTCCACGGGAGGAGGGATGGACAGCGACCCTCTGAGGCTGCTGAGAGTGCCCAGGAGATGGCACAGCTGGGGACCCCCGTGGCACAGGTGGGGACCCCCGTGGCACTCACCTGCAGACGTTCCTGCCCTCAGGGTCGAGCTCCTGGGCAGAGCTCTGCACCCACAGCCACAGCTGCAGGCAGAGGATGGGCCGGGCGCTCTCCATCCCAGCAGGGCACAGGGCCCCCGTCCTGGTGGCTCCCCAGCCCCACGCTGCTGTCCCTCCGTCCCGTCTGTCCCGTCCCACCCGCGGGGCGGCCTCTTCCTCCCTCCAGCCTTGGGTTTCTTCCTGAGGAAACGCGGGAGGAGGCGCCCGATCCAGGCGCAGGGGTGCGGCGGGGAGGGGGAGCAGGGAATGCTGCCCGGGCTATTTCTGGCCCTGGCTGCCACCCTGCCATGGAAAGGGACATCCAGGGGCTCAACACAGCCACACAGGGGCTGGCACCTGCCTGAACATCTCACCTGTGCCACCCCACTCCCCTTGTGACATCTTCTATCGCCCACAAAACTGCTTTAGCCAATGTCCCCCCAACCCAAACAAATATCCAGTGCCAGCCCCTGCCTCAACCCCCATGAACCATCCCATGGCACTGCCAGGGGCTCAGAGGAGGGGTCCCCTTGTCCCCCACGGCAACACAGCCCGACCTGTGCTGGCCTTTGAAGGGCTGCTGGCCACTGTCCCACCTCGCCACGTCCCCAGGAGCTTTGTGTCAGCAGATGCACAGGAAACACCTTTTTCCTACCCAAGGCCAGCTCAGCCGGGGGGGCTCCGGGCTGGAAGCACCCCTTGGCCATGCAGGAATTAACTCCTCCATGCCCAGCACGGTGGGATCACCCCCCTGGAGCCCCCTCCCCACCAGAAGGGGCTCAGGGGGCACAGCCATCAGGAGAAGGGTAAGGGAAATCTGGGAGCATCACCCAGCCCTCCCCAAGCAGAGAGCAGAGGATGCAGGCAGAACCTCAGAGGAAAAACAAGAATGATTTATTTCCAAATTAAAGGTAGAAAGTACCTGATCTGAGGGGACTGATGCCCCCATGAATACAAGGATTGTTACAGTCTGCCAGGTCCCAGAGGTGCCAGTACAAAACTGATTCACGCCACGCCTGAGAAGTGCAGGAGTGGCCCTGGAGGTGCTGATCCTGGTGGCTCCCAGCCACAGGAGCACCTGGACACCCAGTGCAGTGTGCTCAGCCCCTCCCAGCCCTGTGGGGACCCCAGGGCGCTCCAACTGCACCTTCACATTGCAGGGATTGGGGAGCTACAGACACAAAGGGGTGAGGTAAAACACCCACAGAGCAGCATGGGGCAGCTGTGGGCTGTGAGCAGAGGGGTTTGCAGAGAGCCACCAGGGGATGGGAGATCCCTTTTGGGGTGTGGAGAAGGAAGAGGGTGCAGCCCCCCACCATGCTGAGCTGCAAGCAGGGAGCAGTGGGGAGGGGGCCCAGCTGTGAGGGCCCCTCTTAGCTAAGCTGTGGGCACAGTGAAAGGGTGGCTGGTGGGCAGAGGTGCCCAGAGGTGCTGAGCTGCCCCAGGCCAGCCTGGCAGCCCACATCCAAGTGTCCCAGTGGGTCTGCAGGAACCTGCCCACGCTGTGGCTTTGCCACCGCCGTGGCACAGGGAAGTGCCAGGGCTGCTGTGCTGCTCTGGAATCCACTGGAAGAAGAGGATCCAGGAAGTTCTGCTGCGAGGACAGATCCTGCTCCCGGGTCAGACTGCTGCTGTGGCTCTGTCAGGGCAGCTGGACCCTGCCTTGCTCTCTCCCTCTGGCTCCAGCTGTGTGTCCAGTGAGTCAATGATTTCCCAGGTTCCAGAGCAGCTGGATGTGGGGGGATCTTTGCTGCTGCCCTGGTACCACAGCCCAAAACTGCAGAGAGAGCAGAGAAGGGCTATGGGGGAGAAGAACCTCCCCAGGGAGGATGTAGAATCCCAACCTCCCTCTGTGGTGGTGTGGCACCCAGGACAAGGCAGATCCCCCTAAAACAGCACCCCCTGCTTTGGCAGCACCCCTGCCAGCCCTGCTGACTCTGTTCCCATCACATCCAAGCTCCACAGCTGCCAGGTCCCAGCCAAACCCCAAACCTCTCTCCACTGGCAGAGCCTCCCATCCCTACCAGCACAGGAGCAAACTTACAAGCTCCTAATTTTGGATTCTGGAGGCTGAGCATCCACACAGTCTGTGCCATGACCTGGGAGCCAGGAGCCCTCCTCTTCATCACTGCACAAAGAAATGGGGGTAAACCTGCACTGAGCCACAGCAGCGAGTGCTGGAGCCACTCTGGAACTTGTCCAGTGCTCCCAGTGCCACCACCTCGCCTCCCTTTTGTCACATGCACGCAGGGACAAGTGGCATTTGGCCAGGCCATGCCTGACTGGTGACAGGGACACACGAGCCCCTGTGGCACAGCTATGCCAAAGCAACACATCAACTGCAGACATCAAACCTTTGATCTCTGGAGGGAGGAGGCAGCTCTGGGCTTGGGGAAGCTCCAACCCAGGGCATCAAGCACATGGAAATGCTGGAGCAGGGCAGCCAGCCCCCACCCTGCATGGGAGGATCCCAGCACCCAGCCAGACTCACCTGCTCCCCGACTCCTCCGTCGTTCCCAGCATTTTGGCTCTGATTTTTTTCCTCTGTTTTTTGATATTTGACTTCATTGCATCCAGGAAGAAGCTGGGAATTCTCTCCTCGTTCAGCAGCTCCCTGGTAAAAAGCAGCCAGCTGGTTAAGCAAGAACCTGGGGAAGATTCTGCTCTGGCTGTGGTGGGAGCAGCCTCTGCTGAGCCAGGGGTGGCTGCAGGGACAGGACTCACCTCTGGTAATAGGCCAGCTCCTCCTGCACCAAGAACAGGTTGGTCTTGAGCTCATTCCTCTCTTGCAGGATCTGCTGCAGCTCTTCCTTGGAGAAGCAGCAGTGAGCAGGGCTCCTGTCCCCATCCTGGTGCTGTGGCTCCTCTGAGGGTGACAGGGCTCCCTCCTGGAGGGCACGGAAAGAGAGTCAGCAGGCAAGCAGAGACCTCAAAACCCCCACCCAAAGGCTGGGTGCACATGCAGGCAAAAATGGGAAAGTCTCAAAAATGTCCTCATCTCAGCCAGCAACCACACATGGCAAACCTCCCTCCTCCTCTGTCCCATCTACTTTTAACTCCCGTCACCTCATCTTGCTCCACCCATAACACTTCTACAGAGAAGGTGTTGGTGGCATTACAGACACCACCACACTGTTCACTTTTAATCTGTGGGGTTTCCTTGAATAGCCACGTCTGGGTGTGCCAAGAGCTCCACACAAGGCTGGGAACGTGGGGTCAGTGTTGGTGATGGCCAGCAGCAGCAAGGCCACAGCTCAGACCCACCACACCAGGCTCTGGTTTAGGGACACAGCTCAGACCCACCATGCCAGGCTCTGGTTTGGGGTCACAGTTCGGATTCACCACACCAGGCTCAGATTCACCACATCAGGCTCTGGTGTGGGGTCACAGCTCAGACTCACCTCACCAGGCTCTGGTTTGGGGTCACAGCTCAGACTCACCTCACCAGGCTCTGGTTTGGGGTCACAGCTCAGACTCACCTCACCAGGCTCTTGCTGCCGGCTCTCCAGGGCTGTCCTGCTCCTCCTGCTCGTTTCCCTCTGGCTCTGCAGCATGGCAGCCTCCAGGTCTGACTTGTGCTCCAGAGCGCTCTTGAGCTGGGCCTGCACCACGGCCACCTTGTGCCGCAGCTCCTCGTTCATGGCCATGAAGCGCTGGAGCTGTTCCTGCAGCTGGAGGGCCCAGGGCAGCCAGAGGTGAGGCAGTGTCCCCACCCAGGGACAGCAGTGCCACCTGCCCAGCAGGCTCAGCAGCTGTGACAGCCCCGGGGAGGGGGATGTGACATGAAAGCAGCTGCCCGGGCCCTGGCACACCACACCCCCGAGCTCCCCGCCCTCACCGCCTCCGTGTCCCGGCTCTTGCAGACGATCTCGTGGGCCTGGGCACGGAGCTCATCCCTCTGCCTGTCCACCACCTCCTTGAGCCGCAGCATCACCTCCCGCTCCTTCCGTGCCGTGCTGTCTGGGAGCACACACAGGACACGAGTCAGTCCCCTGGGACTCCCCCAAGCCCACAACGCTATCAAGTTCCTCAGTGCTTCTGCTAAGTCTGACTTGTTCCTGGTAATCTCACAGTGGAAAGAAGGGAACTGAGAGTTTTAAACCTTGTGTTGGCACAGCAGCCCAAACCCTGTGCCTGCCTCCATCACCCATCTGGGGGCTTTTGAGGTGCTCTGGAGGTTTGGGATCCCTGATTTGCAGAACAAGGTAATGCCTGCGCTCCCTGCTAGGACAGGTCTCCAAGGTGAGGGAAAGGAGAGCAGCATTCCAGGCTCCAGAAGAACAGGTTCAGCCCTGCACCCAGCCTGCAGCTCCACAGGGACACTCAGTGGCATGGGGGACCCCAACCCCACGGGGACACCCACCTTCCTGGGACTGGCTCTCGGCAAGCTGCCCCAGGAGCTGCCGGTTCTGCTCCTCCAGGCAGGCCAGGCGGCCGTGCAGGGCTCGCTCCCGGCGCTCGGCCTCCCACAGCCTCCGCTCCGGCTCCTGGGGACGGGGACACCAGGTCAGAGCCACCTCTGGGGCAGTGACAGCCAGGACAGCCAGCGCTGAGCAGTGGACGGTGACAGCCAGGTCAGAGGCTGCCCAGGGGATGAGGGGCAGTGGGGACAGTGCCATCACCCCGGAAAGGGGGACAACTGGGTCAGACCCATGCCAGAGGACAGGGATAGCGAGATCAGAGCCGTCCCAGGGGGTGGGGGATAGTGGGGACAGTGCCACCACCCCGGAAAGGGGGACAGCTGGGTTAGAGCCAGCCCAGGGAGACAACTGGGCCAGACAGGTCAGAGCTATCCCAAGGGATGGGGGACAGCCGGGTCAGACCCATACCAAAGGACAGGGACAGCGAGATCAGAGTTGCCCCAGGGTATGGGGACAGCAGGGACAGCCATCTCCTGGGAAAAGGGAACAGCGGGGTCAGAGCCATCACCACGGGGAACGGGATCAGCGAGGTCGGAGCCGTTCCCACAGGGAACGGGAACAGCCGTCCCACAAAACGTGGGACATCCGTGTCAGCCCCATTCCCCAGGAAAAGCCACCAGCCGGTTCAGCGCCGTCCCCAGGGCCACTCCAGCGGGGACACGCGTG